GAACGTCAAGATAACGATAATAGCGACGATAAAACTCCAATTTATCAAATCCTAAAGGAAATTTTTACTCAAAAGCATTTACTTTTTGCAACCATATTGAGTGCCGCTTCTCTCCAGTTAAATATTGGACCTTGGCCTGTGGCTACAACTTTATTGTCCTATCATTTTGATATTGAACAAGCTCAATTTTTTGCTACTTTTGGGGCTTTTTGTTCTTTAATGGTGACTATTCCAGGCATTCTTATGTCTGAACGGTATGTTTATCTGAACGATAGAAAAGAGGGCGAAAGATAAGAATCTAAATGGCAGGAAACTGTTATGTCCGTGAGGCTACCACGTAGACGAACACTAAGCTTTAGTGGATGAAGGTTTTAGGTACTAGAGAGAGAATAGACTATCAGCTGACTTTAATTCTAATTACTTTATGGGCTGCCCATACACATAAGAAACCAAGGGGATAAAGTTCCTCAACAAAGGGGGAATTTTCGAATTTACTTCTAGTTAGTTCAAGTCCCCTTACTTCAAACAATCTTTTTCATATTTTATAAAATCCAAAAAGTTCCTCAAAATTTTTAGTGTAAGCCGTCGTTTATTGCTTCTCCTGCCAGGACTTACAAGTGTTTTAAGCCTCATTTCATATTTAATTTTTGACCGGCTAACTTTATTTGATGGAATATTCCGTTATGGATGTGCATTTTCTTTTATTGTTTATTTTTGCTGTTTTGGGTAATTTTGAAGAAAATTCTTTTTTAAATACAAAAATCAAAATTCAGCATAGCCTTAGGCATAATTCCTTACTACATTGCAGGAGAATTATTTCCCCAAAATTTTCGTTCAACTGGCCAAGCAATTGTTTTCTTTACCTTTTTCCTGCTTGCGTTTATTTTTTATACTTTGACATTGCCCATGTATGCATCTATTGGAGTTTGGTGTTTTCTTCCTTTATTTATCATTCCACAGATGATTTGTTTAACTATTCTTTGGATATTTCTTCCAGAAACAAGGTAGATGAATTAAAAAACTGAAATTCGAACCAGGACAAGACATTGATCAGAGTTTAAGGAGACTCCCGCTCAGTATTTTTAGTGATTAATAATGATTTGAAACCCGGCTCTGGTCATAATAATCTTCCAGAAACAAGGTAGATGAATTTAAAAATTCAAAAATAAGTTCGAAACATGGCCGAACCTTAATCAGGGTTAAAGAGACCCCGACCCTGCTATCTGAGGGAAATCAAGGTCCGAAGACCTATTCAGTTCCAAGCAATAATAACTTAATTGTACATACTATAGGACTTTCCAATTCTAACAATAATTGACTTTTATTTATAAGTAGGGATAGGATTTATATGGACTATCAATCGAAAAATATGGACATATAATATGGAATAAAAATCTCAAAATATGGACTGAAATATGGACTAAAATCCAAAATATGGATCAAATATGGGCCGAAAACTGAAAATTTTTAGCGAAAAAATTTTCATTTTAAGCAGAAAATGTTAATTAAGTTAATTTTTATGCAAATTATTACAAATAAACCAATTAATAGTGAATATTTTGTTTCTAAAAATATTTTGGATAATATTTGAGTCGAAAATTTTTTGAAAAATTTTTGTCAAAATTTTTATAAAAAAATTTTCGAAAATTTTTCGAAAAAATTTATTCAAAAAAGTTTTTTATTAAAATTTTTGACCAAAAATTTCATAAATTTGAAAATTTTAACCAATTTTTGGCAAAATTTTACAAAAAATGGCGAAATATGGATAAAATATGGAAAATATGGACGGAACGCCTAAATATGAAAAAATATGGAAAATATGGATTGATAACTCAAAAACGGCCTTATCACCATATGCTAAAAACATGTTTTTTGGACGTTTCAGAACCCAACGAGTTCAGGAAAAAAATATGGAAATCCATATAAATCCCATCCCTATTTATAAGACAATTAATTTTTAGAGGAAGAGAAGTGCACGAAATTGTAGAAGATCTTAAAAAACTTAATTTTTTGAAAAGGAAAGAGTGTGATAAATAAATTACTGATTTAATTAACTGTTTACATTTTTTACAAATTTTTGTTAAAATTTATTTTATTTATTTGTTTTTCAACCACATTAAAATACATTTATTTTTACAACATTTAACGCCTCAATGGCAGATAAATTATTATTATATTAATATTATTATTATTATTAATTAAATTTTGTGCATTGTATACCTTTTCAAGTGACAAACCTCTCTTAATTTTTACTCATTAATTTTTAATTTCATTTCATTTAATTCGAATAACTATTCTCTGTTAATGCACCTGCGTTCTTATAAATGCTTATTATAATAGAATAATTTAATTAAATTTTTGTTTAATTTTTTTATTCACTCAAAAATTTAAAATTAATTTTCCAATAATCAAAAAGTATTTTAAAATGTTAAAATTTTTATTTCCTCCAAATGGACGTCTTTTACAAACTTGTATATTTATTTTTATTATTTCATTCCTAAATTTATTTTTTCAATCCTACTCAACTTTTTATCCAAATACGGCTGCAGAGAACATTCAAAAATATATTAATGATTCTTATCTTGCACGTGGACAAAAAATTTCAGGAAATTATTTATTGTGGTTTTGGAATTTTGTTTTGAATTTGCCCTTTCTTGGGTTTTTATTGAGTAATTTATTAGCTCCCTATTTTTGTGAAAGTTTTGGAAGAAGAGGTGGGGGGATTTTTTGGTTCAAAACAAATAATTATGTAAGGCGGACTTTGATCCGGATGGGCAAGGATGGAGAAAAGGAACTTTAGTTCCTGTGGGAAAGGATTGAATAAGGGGAGGAGAATGACAAATAAGGCCTTAGGATAAAACTAAGTGGAAAATAGTGAAAAGCGAATCAGTCGACTGTTCACCAGTCAGTTGGAAAGTAATCGATAGAGAAGTGAATAACCGGCCGAAGAAGCTGAGAGCTTATTCATTAATCCTGCAGAAGAAGCCAAGAGCTTATATCAGCGCATATTATTCCCGGGCAAGTCGGTCTCGTAACCGACCAGCAGCACCGGCGCATAGAAAGGCCTACCCTCCGCTTCGCAATATACTCATCGGCATCACCTCTCGGGACCCTTAACATCGCACGCAACCCGCCCAACATCCCAATACCATCCTGGCCCAGCACAAGCTTTACTGGTAGCACCGTCCCACCTCCCCCCGCCACTGGCCATGGCGGTGGGGAGGGGATCAAGGTGAGGTGCGGAATGGAGGAAGACACAAATGTCGCTTCCTTCGTTTCTGCTTTATTAACTACAATCTCAGTTATATATCTAATACCTGAACTATTTTTAATAAGTGGAGTGTTTGGTGCAGCTGTAACTAATATTAATTTTTGTGCTTTTGCTCTCTTTTCAACGGTTTTTAGCTACAGACTGATCTTATTATAAGATACTTCCTTTAGGCTGAGAGATTCCCTCAAATGTTTTTTAACTGGAAGTTATCCTTAGGCAGCTATCTCCATTTAGTAGGCAACCAGATTTTAATAAACTTATGTTAGTAAGAAGAGAGATCGAGCTGCTAATAGGGAAGGGCCTAGCAATATCAGCCAGGATGTCTAAACTTTTATCTCTCTCTCCCTTAATTTTCTTAAATTGATGTTTGGGAGTATCTGATAGTGAGGTCTGACTTTATTTTATAAAATATTTTTTCAAAAGGAATTCCCTGCCACAAAATATAGAGGCCTGTCAGCATTTATAGGAGGCTTTAATTTTAATTTTGGTGGAAATATTGGAATGATTTTGGGTATGGATTGGTTTTTAGGAAGGAATTTGGTTCTTTTAACAGGCTAGAAAATGATTTTGTAATTTAAGGAAATATTTTTTAATTTAAAGGAATAGCTTTATTACCTACATTTTTGTCGATTTTTTTACTACTTCCAATAAAAGAAACGCCAAAGTTTCTTTATCTTAAAAGGCAAGATAAAAAGGCAACTTTAGAAGCATTAAAGTTTTATCAAGGTGGGAAATATTTTTATTTTTTGATAAGAAGGACGGTGATGGAATAACACTAGGTTAGAGTTATCTGAGACCAAATCTTCCGAGAATTAATGCCACAAAATATAGAGGTTTGGCAGTATTTTTGGATCAAGTTAATTCGCATTGGATAGAAGAAACAAATCCTTGAATCAGGAGACTAACATACCGGAAGGAGTAGGGTTGCCGGCCCGGTTCGGTTTGATAGATCGAATCACCCTAAAAAGGATGATTCAATCTTTGTTAGAATGAAAAAACAAGCAAAAGATAGGTTACACTGATCCCTCTCTTTTATTGGCTAGATTATTTAACTTTTAAATAATGCATTGATTATTAAGTTTAATAAAAATGATTAAAAGGTGATAATATTGACCACAAGGAATTTCTTCACGACTTGAAGAAAGAGCGTCAAAATAACGAGAAATGCGACGAGAAAACTCCAATTTTTCAACTTTTGAAGGAAATTTTTACTCAAAAACATTTACTTCTTGCTTCCATATTGAGTGCAGCTTCTCTCCAATTAACTATTGGACCTTGGCCCGTGGCCACAACTTTATTGTCCTACCATTTTGATATTGAACAAGCACAATTTTTTGCTACTATTTGTACTTTTAGTTCTTTACTAGTGAATATTCCAGGCACTCTTATTTCTGAACGGTGAGCAAGAATTTTTCAGAGGAATCCTGAAAAAGAGGAAGAGGATTTACTTGAAATAGTGCCTCAATAATAACTTTTATCACTAAATTTAAAAATCGAAACGAGACAATATCTCGTTCAAAAATCAAAGTTGGCTTGATTTTTCAAGATGTCAATCTCGAATATTTATCGACCTTCAGTCTCTCTCCCAAACTGTGTTTTAATTATTTACTCAAAATTTTTAGTGTAAGCCGCCGTTTATTACTTCTCTTGCCTGGACTTACAAGTGTTTTAAGCCTCATTTCCTATTTAATTTTTGATCGGCTAACCTTATTTAATGGAATATTCCGTTATGGATGTGCATTTTCTTTTATTGTTTATCTGTCCTGTTTTGGGTAATTTATGAAAGATTTTTTAAATTTCTTTTTAGACTATCCTTAGGCACAATTCCCTTCTACATTGCAGGGGAATTATTTCCCCAAAATTTCCGTTCAACTGGCCAAGCAATCGTTTTCTTTTTCTTTTATTTATCTGGCTTTATTTTTAATATTTTAATTTTGCCATTGTATGCGTCTATTGGAGTTTGGTGTTTTCTTCCTTTATTTATCATTCCACAGAGTTTTTGTTTAACTATTCTTTGGATATTTCTTCCGGAAACAAGGTTAATGAACTTTAAAAAAAAGCAACTGGAATTAAATAAATTAATGTTTTAGAGGAAGAGAAGTACACGAAATTGTGGGGGATCTCAAAAAATATTGGGAAACAAGCACAACAAAAGTTCAATTGATAAAATGTGATACATAAACCATTTCAATATTAAATTACTTATAAATAATTTTTTATATTTCGAAAAAAAATTGGGAGCGCAGCTGTCTCATCGAACATCAGCACACAAAGGCAATTGTCGCAGTGTTGGACTTTTCCTCCAACCTCCTTGGTGCATATTATTAACTGGTGGCAGTTTGTCTGCCAGCCAGCCACGCGCCTGCACCCCTCCATAACAACACTTTCGAGTCGTTTTCCTCCAGGCCTTGATCCGAGGATAAGCTGTAAGCACATACTCGAAAACAGGTGTCAAGCAACCTGATAAGGCTTCTTGACGGAATAGTGTCAACAGACCTATCGGAATGTATGACGCTTCAGTGTCTTCCGATTTAATTAAACCGGTTGACGTGATGACAACTCACAGATTAACTGAGAGTTAGTCGTCTATCAATTACATAGCCGAAAAGCAATGCAACTGAAATTTCACCTAACACCAACAAAGGAAAGCTCCGTTAGTGGAAGGTGGCCAACACCACTGAGAATTTGCACTCTCTTTATCGCCAATGTGTCTTATGCTCTCAACAAGGCTTTTCAAACTGCCACTGCGCTCAACAAGATCTTTCTTCGATTTACTGCTAATATAACTGTTGGTAACTATTTATACAATCTTTGTATGTGTTGCAAAAGAGAAGAAGAATATTCTCTCATTTTCAATTTAGTCTTTCTTTTTTCTCTCTTCTCTTTTTGCTTTACGTTTTTCATTTCTAACAGTTGAGTATATATTGTTCTTAGTCTCTTCTCTTTTTATAATTTTGTACTTTTAATTATTGCTCTGGTTTTTACAAAACGTCAACTAAAAGTCGGAAATTAATTTTTAGGGATAAAATTATTTAATTACCAGTTGTTTTTTTTAGTTCGAAAAAAATTTGGGAGCGCAGTTGTCTCATCGAACATCAGTACACAAGGGCGATTTGTCGCAGTGTTGGACTTTCCTCCAACCTCCTTGGTGCATATTTATATTGGTACAGCATCCAAGACCAAAATGTGGCTTCGAATGTTACCGTGCCTGCACACCCCTCCACAACAACTCTTACGTGTCATTTTCCTCCAGGCGAATAATCCCCAGCATGTTACATAAGCAACATACCCGGGAATTTTGACAGCTCACATCAAGTGATGTTCGCCAGTCGATTAAGTCAGTAGCATTGCACTTAACAAGCACAAATAACTACTAACTGTTCACACTGTCACACAGCGAACTAGGTTTGCTGAAAATGACAGCCGATTAAGTCGGTATCATTGCGCTCATTGAGCGACAACTAACCAACTGTTCATCTGCCACACAGAAAACTATGTTTACTGAAATGACAGACGGCCAAACCACTGAGAATTTTCACTCCCTCTCACCAATGTGTCTTATGCTCTCGACAAAGCAGCTCGACTGCCACTGCGCTCGACACTTTCTATTCCAAAAAAAATCGCTAATATAATAGGTGGTAAGCGTTACTTCAAATTTTGCATGTGTTGTAAAGCGGAAATATTCTCACATTTTTTATTTAGTCTCTCTCATTGTTTCTCTTCTCTTATTGTTTTCCTTTTTTGTGTTAGATAGTACAATGTTTTTATTTTATCTGTCCTTCTCATTTTTTAGTCTTTCTTTAACTTTATCTACTTTTAATAAATCCAAAAAATTTTGTTTTGATTTAAATTTATGATTTTAAAATATTTTTATCTAATTTTAATAAAATGCACTCGTAAATAAAATATACTAGAGACCAATTAATTCTAAATTAAAATTCAAAATACTATATTTAATTACATTCTTTCATTCTTCTTTGTCCGGGACTATTGTGTTAAAAACAATTTGTGCGAAGAATACTGATAAATCTTAAAATAAAAAATTTTTTTTTAATTTTTTCCTACTTTTTCAGACAGTTTTAGATCTATCTATGAATATTGAGGAATTTAATTTTTGTAAATCAGCACCCCTCCTTCCAATTCCCCCACCCCTCCCCTCTATTATTCAGCCCCCCCCCCTTCCCCCCTTTATTCAGCCCCCCCTTAAGCTTCCTTTTGGCTATTCTTCTCGTTTGGGAATTTTCTATTAACTTTTCGACATTTAAAAGAATTTTTGTGAGAGAAGGAATGTTTCTCCATTTTACTATAAATCCCTAATTTCTCAAGAAATATTCCTTTTTTCAAAAAAATTTTTTTTCTTTCTTACCATTAACTCTTTCAAAGCATTCCCCACAAAAAACAGACTTGCTTTTCCTTTTAGGATTAATAAAAATAAAATAAAGAATTAATCCAACTGCCAACATTGTTAATGCATAAATAATGATGAAAGGGTCCTAAAAATATTTTTAAAAAAAATTTCAAAAGGCTTTCAACTTTTCTAGCCGAGATTATCAACATAGAAATAAATATACACAAACAAATAAATGGAAGTATTATGGGTGTTTTTATTGAATTTTTTTGAAATTTAAATGTTCCTTTGTGCCGCATATATAATAGGGCTACCATTGTACAACTTTTTTGCATCCATAAGGAATAGGACCTGAAAACAGGGGATTTTTTGGAAATCTTTTTGAAATTATTTTGGTTTGAGACAGTTGGTTCTAAACAAAAGCGAGTGCTAAAGTTTTGGATTCTCGATTAAAAAACCCATTTTCTGGGCCTTTATTCCTCGGTAAATCTCAAAGAGCTGTTTTAAATTTTGCCTCGAATCAACTTAAACTCGCTACTAGTGTTGTTGGATCCGGAAAAAGGCCAGCTATCCGTAAATTTTCGGTTTGGATATCGGATCCGGATATCCGAGGATTTCCAACAATCTGACAACCTTATTCACTACTACATACATAGGTAAATCCCATTTACAACTGATTGAATTTCCAAGGAAAATTCATCCAGATTTGGATTTCCCTTATAGGTATATTATTCCACCACTGATATACTTCTCATTATCTCCATAGTCTACAAATTTTAATAAGAAGGAATTCAGTGTAATATCTTTTAGTAGTATTTAATCACCTTACTTGTTCTTTTAATTACATATTAACATTTACCAACCCTTATATAATTCGTAATTCTTTAAATTAATCATTAACAGGATTACCTACTTACATATATCCAATTAAATGTTCCAAATCACCGATAAAAGAGAGGGAAATTAGAACAAACATCTAAAAAATTTTTTTAATTTAGTCTCTCAAAATTATTTTTTTAAATTACCAACTTCATATATTATAGCAACTCTAGGGCTCATGGACTTTTCATGTACTGAACTTAAAACTCGAGGCATAATTCCATTCTTAGCTCCAGCAAAGACATACCTAATTAATTTAATTTTGTAATACAATCGAAACTCATTTTTATATTCACTCTGGGAACCGCAAGATTGTACCTTATAGAGATCGGGCTGCATCTGGATCTAAACCTTGTTGCTGGATCAAGAGTTCAGATCAAGGCATTTTTCAGAGTTCCTTGATTTCTTCTTGATCTTAATTTTTCCTTGACCCAAGGTTCTAGATCTGTTCAAGGTCCTCACCTAAAATCAAGGGTTTTTTTGAAAATCTCGATCTCTAGACCTTATAATCGGGTGTAAGAGGTATAGTTTGGCCCGACCAATTATCAAACAAATTTTTCTAAAAACATAACATCAACTGAGGTTTATTTCTATTAGGGTCAGCGTTCCTTGTTTTTTTTCTTGACCTTGATTTTTCCTTTGACCCAAGGTTCTTGATCTGGTCAAGGTCTTAAAGAATTTGTCTGGTCAAGGTCTTAAGGAACATGTTTCTGGAAAGATTTGTTTGATAATTGGTCGACAATTATTTTTGTTCTCACCTTGATGATGCAAAAATTGAACTATTTAAATTTCCAAGTAAAAGTATAGCAATTAAAAAGGGAAAAATACGAGAAAAATCTCCCATTGTTTTTTCTGCGAATTTCTGAGAAAATTTATTTGAAATTTTTTTTTGAATTTTTATTTGAAAATACTAACAAAAGCAACAGCTTCAGTATTTAAAAATTCATCAATACTCAAAACAGAAAAATAGGCAATATTAATTAAAAGATAAACAACTGCAGATATTCCAATTCCACATAAAGCTGCTAGGGGAAGAACTCTTCGAGGATTTTCTACTTCGTCTGTTGCAAAGTTGAGAATATCCCAACCTTTATTTTTAAAATATAATTTTAGTAAAATAATTAACTAATTAGTAGTTTTTTAAATTTAATTCTAAAAAACGTTGTTGAAAATGGGAAATGAGATATTTGCGGACAAAAATTTTATGTATACCTAATTTGATTTATAAAAAAGGAAAACGTTTTGAGCAGTAAATTAAATTTATTATCCATAACCTATTGTCTATTAGTTCAGAAATTTAGGCTAACGTTTCAGTATCCATTTTAAACCCCATATTTCTGAAATAGTAAAGATATATGGCGAAAAACATCCAAGAATCCTGGGATAACCTACAACTCTTTCTATAAATTTTTTAACGAATTATTGTGAATGCTCCCCCACCCACGGCTCTGTTAAAACACCATATCTCATATAAGTCATTCAAGGGATCTACCGAAATTAGAAGGATAGGCTTTAATAATTTTAACGGCAACTAAAAACATTACTTGCCATTATAAGCCAAAAGACTTGCATATAAGGCCAATACAAAATCTCCAGGTTCAGTTTTAGATCCTTCAAAAGCATTTACAAAAGTTTCTTCTGTTTTATTTTTAAATATAAGTTGATATAAACCAATAAAAATAATTGTAGCAATTACCAATAGTTTAATTATTGTTAATACAACTTGGAATCGGCCAGCTATTTTTTTCTTAAAAATTATAAGAATTAACTTGATTTTTAAGAAATGTGACAGTTAGGGTTGGGGCCCGATCCGGCCCGGTCTGAACGCCGAGTCGGGCACTGAATTTTGGCCCGAAAAAGACTCGGTCGGGCAACCCCGAAAAAATGAGACACGAAAAAATGACTTGAACATCGGCCCGACTCGAAAACCCCAACCCTAGTACAGTTGTTCTAATTACAGTTGATTATTTATTTATGGTTCAGAACTCGACGTAATTGAAAAACTAACCCTCTGTTCAGGACTCAAGTCAGGACCTAACAAATCTCTCCCTATACTAGGGTGAAGAGAGATTTAAAAGTGATGGCCCCCCCCCCCTAAAAAATTATCTCGAGACCCTTGCATTGCAAGATCTTTACTACTTTATAGATATCTCGATCTCGGATCTGGACTTCAGGAGAGATTTCTTAGGACTCAAGAAGGAATTTAAAAAAAATTTTTTTACCAAAGAAAATAAATTCATGAAACAAACAAGCCAAATAGTCATAAATCCAATTAAGCGTTTTAATATTCCAATATATTCAGAATTTATTGAAATAAAAGAATTAAAACCGTCGACTAAATATTCTCCAAATGTTAGTGTTTGTATAGCCATGATAACGGGGAATGTTAAAGTTGTGGATACCCACAAAAATGCTGTTGCTAAAGGATGCCTTTAAAAAATTTTTAAAGATTTTTAGGTTTAAATTTTAAGAATTGAACTGTATGTATCAGAAATTAAGGGTTCCTCTACCTAGTGACCAGCCAAATTTTAAAATGACACCTAAATTGAGGTGTATATTAGAGACAGGACTGAGAGTGTCGTACGAGAATCGAGATCGCGTCTCGGTATATAGTTGATGACGATTTTATTATTTAACTGGTTAGCACATTAAATTCCTGAGGCTTGAATTAGTAAGTTATTTTATAATGATTTGTTAGAAAAATTTGGCAATTTTGAGTTAAAATAAAATTTTCCTACCATTTTGCATGTGAAAGATAGGCAAAATCACCACCCGACTTTCCTATACTCGTTCCTTAATTAAATTATTTTTTCAATTTATTTTAAATTTAATTACCCAATTCAACATATACAAGTGCCCCACAAGCAGCAATTAAAGCACCTATAGCCCATACACAAAGGGAAAGCCCCACAGAGCCTGTATGTCTTAGAATTGATGTTGGAGAGATAAAAATACCTTTAAATTAAAATAAATATTTTCTAATTTTATTTTGGTAGTCCCTATTGACAACACTTACAGCCCTTATTCTTCATGACAGTCCCTCTAGACAGCCTAATATTATTTTAAATTTAAAAAAATTTTTAAATAAATGTCAGGACTTGGAGAGAAATTAGAACACCTTAACAACCAGGACTTTTCAGAAAAATATTTTTATTTCTCTTAATGGTAATCCCAATCCATTTATTCATTGTTTTACTAATATCCGCTTATTAAAAATAATTTTTCTTATTTTGGACAAATTTTGTCCAGATAGCTATTAGAATTAAAAAATTTTTCAAATCTATAGGCGTGGAAAAAGGTATTCAGAATAATTTCTAAAATTAAGAAAAAATTTTTAATCGAACCTGAGCCTATAATATCCCCAATACAGTAAGCAATTCCTTCAAAAACACCAATTTTGTTTTCTCCGTTGTTTTGTCTCATATTTATAAATTATTTAAAAAAATTAAAAATTATGCTGATATAACTTTAATTTTAAAATAAAATAATTAATTAAAAATTTAGAGAATTAAGTCAATAAATTGTTTAAAAACTATTTATTTTAATAAATTAAGCAAACAAAAAAGGGAAAATTAATTAAACAATTAATCTTGTAAATTTAAAGTAGAAATAGTTAGTCTTAGAGACCTTGATTACTCTGATCCTTTAACTCGATTTATGCTGTTAACCTATGCCAGTTTCTTGGCCTTGAGATAAGGAGGAATCAAAGTCCAGGAAAGATCACAAGACCAGAGAAACTGGCTTGATCTTGACTCTAAACTAAAGGTTCGGGGCGGGATCCCGCGCGGGATTTTGCGGGATCCCGTCCCGCAAATCCCCATTTTTTGGTTTTGTTGCATTTTTCGGTATTTATCACGCGGGATCCCGTCTCGCAACGATTTTACCGATCTTGACTCTAAACCCAGGAAGATTAGAACCAGGCGAATCAAGGTCTGATTCAAAACCAGGCGGATCTCTACTTCAAAACAAGAGTTAAGTAAAGCTTAGCCATCGTGTAAAAGTCAAATTACAACACTTGAACTAAAAGCAAGTATTTATCGATAAAAGGAGCCCCTATAAATAGCGATCTACATTGAATTATTAAACTAAGATTTCATGCTTTTTAAATAAAAAAAATTACGAAAAAAAAATAATCACAAAAATTAAGAACAAAAATAATATTTAATTTAAAATTACGTTTTTGTTCAGAGTATTAATAGTATATTTTATCAATTGAATACAAAAATTGATAAACACACAAAATTTGTACCTAGTAATGATTTTTTATGATTAAAATGAATAATTATATTTCCGTAGAAAATTTTACTTCCCAAAATTAAAAATCAATATAAAATTTAAAAAAATTTTTTTACCAAGAAACACAAAAAATTTTCAAAAGAATTTTATGAAAAATAAAAAATAAAATTTATTATTATACTACATACATAAAAGTTTATAGTTTGTTTGTAGTAGTAGTAGTCAAGAGGAGTGAGAACAAAATTTGATTCAAAAAAGCAAACGCGCAACATGTTTCAGTTGACCAGGGAAATATATTTCTTCCTTTTTATTTGCCGTATTTTTACGTTTTTTGTGGCGATTTTGTTAAAAATAACGGAAACGCAATGTGGATTTTCCTTTAGAAGATTAGTGTTGACGGTTAGGTACTAAAGATCGGTCTGGATTTTTCCTGGATCTAGAATTCAGATTTTTTGAAAATACCCTTCTCTATTAGATACTGAACTGAATAACCGAGGATTTTCTCATTGGTTCTGGATCAGGGCTGTCCACAATTGCGGATTGCGGCTACCGATTCTAAAATTAGAATTGCGACTAAAATTGCGGAATTTTTTTCATTTGCGGACAGCCCTGTTCTGAATATCTAAAAATGTTTCCAAAACTGACAACCCTATTCAAGATCTTTAAATACTTCTTTACATTTATATTCCTTCAATTCCCCCTCAATTAAATATTCCTCCCCTTCAATTCACCCTTTTTTCTCTCCTTTTGTTTACCTTTTACCTCAATTGAAAATTTTTGTAGTTTATTATTTTTTATTTATTTTTATTTTTGTTTGTTTAAATAAATATATTTTTAGTTTTATTATAAAATAAATGCTAAAAAAATATTTTTTAAATGACAGAAAATAACGAAAAATTGCATCATTTTAGTGTGCAAATAATAACAAGTATTTAGGAATTTTGTTTAGATTTGAAGGAAAATTTAAAAAAAAACTAAAGAAATTAATTACTATAAAGAATGTTTTCTAAGGTTCTGATCTGATGATCAGTGATCAAAGTTTTAACAATAATTCAGTTTTGCGATTTAGACTACTTGATCTGGGTTATCTTTAATGGCAGGGATGTGCGTCATGGCGTGATTTTTGGTCGGTTTTGGCGTTATGGCGTTTGGCGTGATTTAAAAATTTGAAAAATTGAAGACGAACCGGGCCTCGAATGAAAAAGCCTTGGACGGCTCGGTTTGGATAAAAATGAGGTCCGAATAAATGTTTGAACGTCGGCCCGATTAAAAAAATCCAACCCTGATCTGGGTATATCAAGTTTATACTGGGTATATCACCAATAAAAAATAACCGAAAGAACCGAGGATTTTTCTGTTCGATTCCCCCAAAAAAAAGAAATTTAAAAAATTATTACCTGATCGTTTATAATTTTTTTTATTTGTTTTTAGGATTTATAATTGGGTCTTATGTTGGAATTTATTAAAAAGAAAAATTATCATTTTATCAAGATAAACAAAAATTAAAATAATTTTTTAAAGCTCAGTAACTCCCCTTCCACTATTCATCCTTTGTGTTTCCTTCATATCTTCTTCCTCTTCCTTTTCTTCTTCTTCATCTTCCTCGACAACAGGGCTAATAGCTATTTTACCTCCTTTCTTTAATATTCTTTTGGATCTTCCCCCATTTGTTGTTTTTTGAATTTTTGGCATTGTTAAAATATTATTTTCTGTTAATTTATTATCTTCCTTTATTCGAAGTTGTTTGACATTTTGTTCTGATTTTCTTCTAGGGAATGATTGAATATCTGAAATATTTAGTAATTTTAATAGCTGTTTAATAGGGTTGTTGGCGACCGGTTTTAAAACAGGAATTATTGAAATTTTTTGCCAAAAATTAACCGTTTTTAGAAAATTTTAAAAACCGAAAACCGGAAATTTGTGAAAATGAGTGATTTTATTAAAAATTCCCCCAAAAATAAACCGGTATTTGCCTAAAACACAAAACCGAAAACCGGGTTTATAAAATTTTAATTAACCGAAAACCGGGGGTACCGGTTAATAACTGGTCGCCAACAACCCTACTGTTTAATGAAAAATAAACTCGTTATACTGACAGTTTTAAGGAATCGAACATTGTTTTTTGAAAATTACGACAAACGATTCTGAAGTTCCGGCTTTGATAGTACTTAGTTGGGGAAGAAAAAATGGTGAAGGGGAATTATTGTTTGAAGTTATAAGTTCAGATTTGTCATTCCGTTTATAAATTTACAAGGATATAAGTTCAACACGTTCATACATATGTACATAGCGCCTAGCTTTTTCTTATAAAGGTCTTTACTAGAGAACGGACTGGTAATATCGTAACAGAATCGAGTTAGTTATCTCAAACAAATCTCAGTCCCGATCTCAGTTCTGAGTCCTCAGTCCCTCCACATTAGTCTCAGTCTCTCTCTCTCAAATCTCAGTCCCTCCACATTAGTATTGACTATCTCTAGTCAATACTAGTGTGGAGGATAAGGGAGGTTATATGATCCAGATATGATAAACTTTCATATGTCTGTGGATGATAAAGTAAAGGACATAATTATTGTGGAGGACAAGATTATCTACAAGACAGGCCTTGAGTCGATTTAGGTGAATTCATATTTCAATTGAATATTTCTAGTCACCTTTTAATTTCTCCCCTTGTCTTTCAGTATTATCTACAATATTTACAACTAAATCAACGGGAGCAGATTTCCTTCTATTACTAATATCTTTACATTTATTTTGTAATTCTTGTTGTTTAATAACTGTTGGGACAGTAAAAGAGCAATTTGTTGAAGTAGAAAGATCAATCTGACATTTTGGATTTTCTATACAAACATTTGTTGGGGAAGACCAACAATAAGGATTTTCTTCCTTAAAATTTTGAATTTCGAAATTTTTTTGAAAGGAAAACAAACAAAATTTCTTTCACAAAATATTAGTGGTGTGGGATTTTTGGTTGTCGTAGTGGATGATTTGAGGAAAGCAGTTGAAGTTGATGGAATGTTGGAACAAATAAATTCGGCTAGAAAATTGAGGAAAATTTGAGAGAAAATTTATTTTAGGAATTTTTAAATCAAAATTTTCTTGAAAAACTAAACAAGAAATTAATTTGAGTGTGGAAAACCACCCCACACTGGAGGGTGGAAAAAAATCCACCCCACCCTTGAGGGAGGAAAATTGTTAATAAATTCGAGTAGCATACCAATTATTAGGGATATCTTTGTTTAACTCTCCCCCCCCCCTCATTTCCGCTTTAAAAAAATTCTTCGAAAACCGGAAATCGAAAAAAAGTTCAGAAATATCTACCTCGAAAAATAAAAATTTCGGAATACCCCCCCCCTCCTCCTCATCCTCTCTCTCACTTCCATTGTGCTAATTTAAGAAAGTATGTCTTTAGAAGACAAAATCACGCTAAAATCATCTCGGGAAAAATTTAGTTTTTCGAAATTTCGGGACCAAGATATTCGATTGATTATTAAGACCTGGCCCTTTCTGACTACTTTTTCCAAAAAATTTTCTTTTAAAATACTCAAAAAAAGTCTAAGAATTTTATAAATTAATTTTCGGAACCAGGAATCGTTTTGAAATTTTTAGGGGATTTTAAAAAATTAAAAAAAATTTTTACAAGTATCAACAGGTGTTTGAGCAGTAGAAGATGAAAGAGATATGTTTTCTAATAAGCTAGTTCCCATTCTACATTTTGGACACGAATAAGGTCCATCTCCATTTGTCAAAAGATATTTTTGTAAACACCTATAAAAATTTTTTTGAAAATTTTTTCTTCAAAAAAAATTCACTTTTCATGGAATATATGAGAACAATTAAGTGCTTGTAATGATTCTTCAATCTCTCCATAGCGCTGACCACAAAAATTACAAAAAAGCTCCATTTGCTGGATCAGATGTCTTTGCTGTCTATTCGATTCTGTTGAATTTTCTTCGTCCGATAATTGACTTAAGAAAATTTTTTTTAATTTTAAATATAGAAAAATATTCGAACCCTACTATAAGATACGCCTTTAGGGCTGGAAATTTTATAGTATAAGGAGTTGTATCTTAAATTCTTAAATTTGAGGTATCGTCAGGTCAGCACTAGAATTGGCGGACCCTAGGAAATCTACTCATATCCGAATTCAATATCCGAATCGATATCTAAATTTAAAAAAATAACTTAAATTGAAGATATATCTTATAGAAAGGTTCGATCTAATTCAAAATTAAATATAAATATTTATTTTTAACCTATAGAGGTCGTAAAGGCGAGAATGGCATTCCATCATTGCATGCTTAATAAAAAATAAATTTTTAAATTTTATTTTCCAGAAAACTCTTAACTTTCTAATACTAAAAATGTAATGATATACGAAAAATTAAGTGAAAAGTAAAGTTTCCGCAATCCTAAAAGCAGCCGCGATCCGCAATATATTTTAAAGACTGCAGAGATATGTATGTAAGTGCGGACAATTAATAATTTGATAAAACACTGGCTAACACTTAATTAAAGGAAATCTTAAAAGGAAATTAATAATATTTAAATCCCCCTCACTTTAGATCCAATTAAAGTTGCCAATTCCAAGCATTTTCTATTTAATTGTATAGCTTGACATTCACATCTACCAGCATAATGAACACCTTTATTTTCACTTGCAGAACGTGCCATGCTTGCTAATACAATTATTTGGCCAGAGCGGTCATTTATTTTTCTTAGAAGGCGGAATGCTTGTTCATACCTTGCCCAACTTTTCTATAAAAAATTTTTTTGAAAGATTTTGAAAATCTTTTAAAGCTTATAGATCTGTACCTCTACACTTCACACGCTCTCTAATACCATCAAGATTTATAATTACAAAGTTTTAGTCACCAAACTGAGAATAAATCCACCCTTATGAACTCCCAACCGATCTACTATCCGTTATATAGGTATCTAGTAGAGAGCGTTTGTTAAATAGAGGACTCTCTTCATTTCAATTTAAACACTTACAGTAACAGTTTCTCTAGCTTCAGTTTCCCCAATTTCGCAAAATATATCTGCTAAACTAGCTAGAGCACGTGCAAAAGTAGGCTTATTACCAACTTGTTTGGCAAGGTGAATAGATTCCTCACAGACTTGTCGAGCTTCTAAATTAAAATTAAATTTTCTTAATTTAATTTTTAATTATTAATTTTTTTGAGATGCTGAACCAATTTAATTTATTAACTTTTCTTGAGGAGACTAACAATTCCCTTAAATTTCTAATAATTTCAAATGAGCCACAGACTTATCTTCTCTCTTTTGTGGGCAATCAAGTCTTTATCAAAAGTGGTATTTGTAACCCAATCCTTCAATTCCCTCAATATCCGCACTCCACATTTATTAAATACCTGAAAGGCGTCCTTTCAGCCTTAGAATAACAGACAATTGATAAAGTATGGCAGATCTGTATTTTGCATGGACATGATTAGCTTCTATTCCATGCATTATTCCCAAAGCATTTTGAAGGAAAATTAAAGCTTTGTTCAAATCCCTTTAAAAAATTTTTAAAAGATTCTAAGAAAAAATTTCTTTCAACCTTAACAAAGTAAATAAAGCCCCCAATCCCAGGCTTATTTGCAATTCCAACAATTTGTCACCCGTCTCTATTGCTATTTTCATTGACAATTCAAAGTGTTCTAGGCTTTGTTGTAGACCGGAAATGCCCATTCTAGCCATTGCAATGACTTGAAAAAAATTTTTTTAATTTCATTTAATCCCTATACTAGAAGATAATTTCTCAGAATTTCTCAGTCCGGTTGATTCGAAATTTTCAAATCTTTAATCTTAAGATTTTTTCAAGATGTCTAATAGGTTTATCTATCGAGCCTTCCCGCTGATCAGAGGTGGGTCGGAACAGTCAGAGGTGTCGAAAATTTGAAGAGCCGGAAATCGGAACTGCTCAAAAGTCGGAAATCGGAAATTAAAATTTTTTTTGGAAATCGGGAATCGGAAGGAAAAAACGTCGGAAGTTTGAGTGCTGACCAGTGCTTCGAAATTTCAAATTTGCTCGTAGCGTACTCGTACTTCGTACCACCTCTTTTTTTGGCCTCGTACTCGTACTCGTACCTCGTACCACCCCCATTTTTTTGCTCGTACTCGTACCTCGTACCACCCCTATTTTTGGCCTCGTACCTCGTACTCGTACCTCGTACTTACTCGTACTTGAAAAAAATGCAAAAAATCGAAAATTTTTATGATTTTTTGGAGCCCAGGGCATCTAGTTTTAAATTTTAAGCGTTGTATGTGATAATATTTGAATCTTGGAAGGCCTTGAAGTTATAAATCCTCCAATTTCATCCATTTGCTGCGCCGCAGTCGAAATTTTTGAGCATTTTAGAGTGCAAGGGTAAATATTTCCTCCAAGATGGGTCGTGCTACCCGAGATCCTACATTTTTTCATCCGATTTTTATCTTCTTACATGGAACTTTTTATCTTTTCCACTGAACTTTTCACATTTTAATCTCTTATTATCCCTCTTAATCTCAAATCCATTTTTTTAAAAATTTTGAGAATTTTGGATGTCCTTAAGTCAGATTTCTTCTATTTTTGCGCCGCAGGCGAAAATTTTGAAAAATTTTGAAGGCCATGAAGCCAGATTTCTTTCATTTTTCACCGCCGAAGGCGAAAATTTTAGAATTTGGAAGCCAATAAGCCACCTTTCTTATTTTTTCAGCGCCGCAGGCGAAAATTTTGAAAATTTCCAAAGGCCGTAGGGAAAAAAATTCACTTTTAGTGTGCAAAGAAAAAATATTAAGAATTTTAGATGGTCAAAATCTCATAATTAATCCAAGTAAAAATACAATAATTTTTTAAAAAATTAAAAAAGTTATTTATGAAGAGAAAAATATTAAAAATCCTTGTCCAGTGAATAGGAAACGAACCCAATATTAAATAACCCAATATTAAATCATCACGAACCCAATATTAAATCACTTTGGTGCAGCCAAGCACCTTCACCACTCGGCCACTCGCTCATATAATGAAAAATGAAAGGAACAAAATATATTTCTTTCAATTTTCCTATTAACACCAAGTACGAGAAGTACGAGCTCGTACTTAGGCCTCGTACTCGTACTTTTCACTTTTTTTTGGCCTCGTACTCGTACTCGTACTTCGTACCTGCCCAATTTTTTTGCTCGTACTCGTACTCGTACTTCGTACCAGGTACGAGTACGAGTACGAGGTACGAGTACGAATTTTGGTACGAGCTTCGAAGCACTGGTGCTGACCCACCTCTGCCGCTGATCTAAAACTTTATTTTCTACAAAAAATACAACTGGCGATCAAGGGATGTCGTTCAACCGTCCTATACACAAGAACAAACTTTTCGACTACTGTAATTTTTTATTTATTTTTATTCAGTGGATAAAACAGGGAATGATTTAACTTCATTTATCTACCTAAATGTGCATATCCCGGACTTCTTCTATCAATTCCCGGAAGTGCCAAACTCTGCTCTGCAAAGTCTATAGCCTTCTCATATTCTGCCAGTCTTTCATTTGCCCTAGCCAAATTAAGCAAAGCTTCGGAACGCATTAAATCATCATTTTGATTGTTTGCTAATTCTACTTGTTCTTTTGCCTTTTTTTAATTTTAAAAATTAAAAAATTTTATTTTTAATTCTAACTGCTTGTAACATTTGGTCATAATCTCCAGAATCACAGTATGCTTGAACTATATATCCGCTAGTCAGAAATTTGTCTTCGGCTGTTCTAAAAGTAAAAAATTTTTTTAAATTTTTTACTACAATCATAGAGAATATTTTAAGATTTTATTTTATAAAGTTAGTCTCTGGCCATAATCTCCGACATTGATTTCCTAGCATTTAATTCTTCGACAGTCCTTTCTCCTCTCCGATATTTCTAAAAAATTCTCATTGATCGTGGATCATTATTTTCCCAAAAATTCCCCATTATCTTCCCTCTAATCTTTTCAATCTTAAAAGGATTATATTTGTCATATAAAAATTTGGATGGATTTACTTTCAAGCCCTACCCAGGGCTGCACGCAATTGAAAGAAAAATTTCTGCAGCCGCAATCCGCAACTCGCAATTTTAATTTTAAAATCCGTAAACGCAATCCGCAATCCAAAAAAAAGAGAAATTTCTCTCAATCCGCAACTGCGTGCAGCCCTGATCATGAGCGTTATTATTTCCAATTTATTTACTTAAATTTGTAACGGATTGTATAAAATTAGAATTTTATTTTTTAATTTTACTTTAATTTTCTTCTAGCCGCCCTCCAATGCCTAATTGCTTGTTGAGGGTTTTGTTGTTGATATAATTTAATTCCCATTCTCATTTGGCTTCTAGCTCGCCTGGCACGAATATTCAGCGCATTACCCATCCGTTTTAAAATTAATTGGTGTCGATGGTTTTTGCGGCAAGGACGCTTGTGAAGACGTTCTGCTGCAGTTGCTGTTGTTGGTAATTTTCGAACCCTGGCCAATTTTGCCATTCCCGCCGGGGCTTTAAAAAAATTTTAAATTTAAGTTTGGCATTTTTTATAAAAAAATAAAAGTTTCAAAAAATCAGCGTCTTAATTTCGAGTTTTTAAAGATGCATGCAAGTTTACCAAGTTTATTTATTCCTCTGGCTAATTATTTTTTCCACCTCTCTTTGGATCGTGTAAGTTTACCAAATTTATCAAGGGAAGATAATTATTCAAATTTTTAGATTTTAAAGCGTGTTATGGCATTTGATGGGGGGGGGGGGGGGGGTAATTAATTTTTTGCGCTACAGGTTTAATTACTCGTTAAAATAACCTGCAACCTAAAGTTGACTGTCCAAATAAGAAAGCTATCTTATCAAAGTAAAAATATGTGATAAATAGTGGGAGAGTTGAGAATATGGTTAAGATTATTATGAAACATGCTTTTTAAGGTTGAATTATTTTTTTAATTTTCTCAAGATTTAAATAAAAAAGTTATACCTTTTCAATTGAATGTGCCAAGTATTTCTTTGCCAAAAATATACGGCACACAAAAACAGCAAAATTAACAAGTATGTTTTAGTATGAGCCAAAGTTGAAACGAAAATGATGAGAAAATTGAAGAAAAAATTTTTTTTAGTAAAAGGATATGTAAAAAGGGAGAAAAGAACGGAGGGAGAGAAGGATTTTTGTTTGAAAGGGAAGGGGATGAGGGAGGAGGATAGAATTTGACACCGCCTGTCCCCCTAAAATTGTATAAGAAGAAACAGCAGTCAATGAGCTTGGCAATCTAGTTGTTGTCCTACCTCAACCCTTCCTCCTTTTATTTTCTTCTTCCTTTTCCCATTAACAATTTCTTCAGGATAAGGGTCATTTCGGCGCCAAGACGTTAGGACGTCTTCAAGCATATCTCAGTCTTGAAAAATCTTAGGGACTTCAAATTTTTTCAAGTATTTTCTTATAAGATCATCTGCCTCTCTCATGAATTTCAGGATTTTAAGTTCAAAGGATCTTAAGTTATGGTCGAAAATTCTAACAAAATTCAACATTTTCGATAATTTTAAGATTACTTGTATACATATAATCCCTTAATTATAAAATTGAAAATTCTGAGGGGTTTACAATAGTTCCCTCATTTTGCCACTTTACAGCCCTCGAGTTTATCTGTAAAAAAATTTAACAGATCCAGTTCTCATCAAGTTCTCATCAAGCAATTATTCAAGATTACGCCCTTCTGTTCCCCGCGCCCTTCTGTCCCCCTCACTTCCTTCTCCACCCTCACAAAGCTTTAATGCTTTTCCCTCATTTTGCCACTTTACAGCTTTGTGTAAGTCTCTATATTGATTTTGCCGGATGAGGGAAATAAGCTCTAATGGTCTTCCTTTTCTCTTTTAACTTTTCTTTTTCAAACTTTATTATCCTAAAGGATAAAACATTTTTGCAAGATGACACAAAATAAAGTAGTAAAATCAGGAGAAGAATGAAAAGGAAATTTGACAAATGTAAAGATATTAAAAGGGAAAGGTTAAATAAAAATTTGGAAATAAAATGAGAGAAAGTTATCAAATTTTATAAGGAAAAATTAAAAGTATTTACCTACCTAGGGTCCATTTATTAACAAGGGATATTAGGATAGTGGGATTTGATTTAAGGGATTTGCTGATTAATTCCCGATATCACTTAAATCCCCTCAATCCCTTTAAGTCCCCACAATCCCTTTAAATCCCATTATATCAACTTAATCACTGATTTACGATTCTGAATCTTAACCCTATTATCCCCTTTATTAACTCCTAATCTACCGATATCCCACCTCAAGCCTCCGATTGTTCAAATCCCCTTACTCCCTCCAAATCCACTTATATCCCTCCCCAATATCTCTTCAGCCCCTCCTTTACCCTCCAAATCCGTCAATATACCTTTTAATTCTCCTCGTTCCAAATCCAATAATTATTTTTAAAAAATTTTAAAAAAGACTCGAAAATGTCTCGGTGACGACTCAATAAAGTTAGGCCCGAAAGTGACTCGTACAGGCCCCGAAAAAATGCCTTGACCGTCGGCCCGACACGAAAATGGCAACCATAATCACCGCTAACGTTATTTTAAGGAATTGTTAAGAGAAAAATTGGTGTAAAAATAAATAAAAATTTAATTTACAAAAATTTTTTTTTAAATAATTTTATAATGATTATTTTGAAATTTAAAATAAATTGAGAGATTTAATGGAGATTTAATTATTCTGCGGTATTTCCTTCAAATCTTAAATAATTAATTAATTAATATTTAAATTTAGCTTTTATTAAATCTTAAAATTAATTTAAAATTAAATTTAAATTTTATAATCGATTTGAAAAATCGATTATAAAAATTATTACCCAGATGATTTCTTACTCGTGAGGCAAGAATTAGACAGGGAAAGCTATACATAATGAATACAAAAATTTATTTTATAAACAATGGAAAGGAATCCTTTACTATTGACAGTCTTTTTCGAGAGGGAGGTAAGGGAGGGAGGTAAGTGGGGGGGGGGTCTTTATCCTAGAGAGGATCTTTATTGAGAGGGTCTTTACCCTAACCATCTCCTCTCAATGTAAAAATTAAAGACAATGAATGCCCTTTAACATTTAAAATAAGGCGCGCGTCTTCGATGGGCATGTCTTATTCCTGTCTGCTTTAATTAATATAAAAGCCGATAGAAAATAAGGAGGAATCATTCAAAAGTTTTTTTTCAATTAAAAGTTTCCAAAAGAAAATTTTTTTACCTTCACAACAAAAAATGGCAAAATTCTTTTTTGTTTTTCTGTTATTTTTTTTTATTTTTATTAATTCATCGTATTGTGAAGACAATGATTATTACGGCCCTTGGAAAGTTCATAGCCCGAAAGAAATAAAAAACAAAAGAGATAAAAAAGCAGAAAATGATAAATGGTGGGACAAAAGTTAGTTTAATAAATAAATGATAAACTTATCTTGGCTAAAGGCTTTGTTTGAAGTTTTAAATATATTTAAAATCATTACGGGTGCTAAGTTAAGGGTCAGCAAAAATGCAACTAAGGCAAAGTTAGATCCAGCATGAGGGAAAAATCCCGCAAATCGAAAAAATTAAGGGATTGTGGAAGTGGTATCCCGCAAAAAGTGTGGGGGTTGCACGAGGTAGAGTCCTCGCCCATTTTGCAATCTAGGTCCCGGATTGAACGGCTTCAGGTTTCAAAACTTCGGGATCGGCCCTCGCCAAGAACCTCGTCGAGGAGCGAGGCTAAATATAAACCTCTAAATAATGACTTTATTGGAGGATTCAGAATTTTTTTAAATTCAAATATAAATAAAAAAATATTTTTTCTTTATTAAACTCGAAAAATTAAATAGGTAAATTCAATTTTAACTAAAAAAAAACAAAATTGTTTTTGTTACCAAATGTTTCTCATTTTATAAGTATATAATATTTTATTTAAATTTTTATTTAAGAAATAAAAGAAAACGCAAACGGAAAAACTCGACGCGACTACGATTTCAGTCAAAACAAAAATCAACAATCATCTTCAGGAAAGTGAATTTTGATGAAGAAAAAAGAGATGTAAATATTTTATTTTCAAATTTAAAAGAAAAAATATTTTTTCAATGCCTTTCTCTTGTATCATAAAGAATTTTTCTAAAAGCTTCAAGTAAAACACTGTTTAACTCTGATAAAAAAAATTTTTTTCAATTTTATTTTAAATTAGTGTTAACTCAAGATATTTGAGTTTTTGTCTAGTTTATCAGAAAGTTACTTTATTTATAAATTCCATAAGTTGTGATATTTTTATGTCCAGTCTTGTAACCCTTGAAAAATTTTTTTGAAAGAATTTTTTTGTTCCCCATTTAATTGATTCATCCGCGCCTCCAATTCTAATTCTCCAACTCCCTACTTTTATAAGTCCAATAAAACTATGATTCCAATAAAAATTTATGAGCCTCTCTCGAATAATTCCCCTCCCTTGAATAATTCCCCCTCCTATGGATGAGTTGAAACAAAATCCCCCTCCCTCAAATACCCTAATATACGTTCAAATTTCAATACTCGAATACTTCCCCTACCTTGAATAATTCCCCATGCCACGGATGGGTTGAAAAAATAATTCCCCAGGGGAATTAATCGAGTAAATACGGTAATTAAATTTACTAAATTTTGTTAAATATACACCAAATCGTTATCAAATTTATACTTCCAAATATGTAGAAGTTTCCAATGATGAGGAAATCTGTTTCAACAACGGGAAATGATCAACTAGGCAAATAGCCAGATTCCCTTTCCTTCCAAAAAGATTGCAGGGTTTTTCATTATTAAATATATTCTCCTATCTCACAAAGGTATCACGACTTTTGCGCCGGGAACATTTGCGCCGCGACTTTTGCGCCGCGACTTTTGCGCCGGGCGACTTTTGCGCCGCGACTTTTGCGCCGCGACTTATGCGCCGGGCGACTTTTGCGCCGCGACATTTGCGCCGCCATAATTTTAAAAAATAATATCTACAGTCGGACCTAATTATAGTGTACTTCTTAAAAAATGGTCCAGGAGCTGAAGGAATTTCAGGAAGCACAATAGTTTCGGTAAGTACAATAGCCCCCTCCAATAAACTGACCCCCTAGAGGGGTCATCTTCAAAGAAATTGACTTTTTCAAATCAGGATATTTGGTCTGCTACCCCTATTCAGGCATGATTTTCTGCCAGAAGAGGGTGCACTATAGTATAGGGTTGTCGGGTCCTGATATCTGGATCTGAAAAAGGCCGGATAGCTGAAAATTTTAGGTCGGATATCGGATCCGGATCTTGATATCTGAAGATCTCCAACTATTCTATATCTTCTGTAGTAAAATCCGGCTGTAGTTTTTCATAATTATTAACGATAGTGGCGGCGCAAAAGTCGTCCGGCGCAAAAGTCGCGGCGCAAAAGTCCCCCGGCGCAAAAGTCGCTCGGCGCATAAGTCGCGGCGCAAAAGTCGCGGCGCATAAGTCGCGGCGCAAATGTTCTCGGCGCAAAAGTCACGGAACCCTCACAAAAGTTTGAAAATCTTTTAGGAAATTAGTATGTTTGTTTGAAACTACCTAAAGATTAAAATTATTATTGTCCGAGTCGAGGCTCACTCCCTATTAAGAGTCGGACAAAAAAAGACACCCACACACACAATATGAGCTTTTCGCTTTTGATTTTTTTTAAAGTTTTTTATTTTTAGCTTTCGCCCAGCCCTGATTTTTACATTTATTCTTTGATAAACAAAAAACGTTAAATTTTATTTAAAAACGTTAGGGGTGCATTAATAAAAGTTTTAATAAATAAAATTAATTTTTTCGATAGGGTGCAAAATTAGGCATACAATTTTAAGAAAAGTTTTGTATTTTTCACTCTCTTAAATACTGGAGGTAAGTGAAAGTGACCGAGTAAATGACCATAAGAAAATATGAGTTTGATAGAATATTTTATAGTGTAGGGAAACAATTAGAGAAATTTGCATATAATGATGCAAATTTATTTTAAATGAATCCCATTTAGTTTTTCCTAATTATTTTTGCATATATAACATACAAAATTAGGAATGATCAGCCTCAAAATAAAAATGACAATTTTTAAATATTTGCCATTAATGCTAACCTCAATTTTTTACTACGAGCGAGGATATTAAGGCGCAAGGTGTGGCTATTACGTGTTAATCGCGTAATAGGGCTCGCCGACACGCTAAATTTTTGAAATCCGCTCTGCCTTAGGGCGTTGTAGCGGTCCCCCGATGATGACTAACTGAGGGGGTATAAATAAAATTTTAGAAATTATTATAGAATTAGTCTATGCCTAAAATTTTGGTGAAATATATTTAATTTGGAGAGAGAATTCAGAGAAGACAAGCTAAAATAGAATGACCACTAATAAGTAGTAACTAGGTCATCGCTGGGAGAGTTTTAATAGTAACGCCTGCTTCTACAAATGCTTTTAAAAATCAATTCTTCAATGGAAAAAGCTAGCCAATGTCTATGGATAGAGAGGGAAATGAGTCGAAGCATCAAAAAATGTTTTTTGCAGAAAGCCTTTTGCGGAAGTGGGAACAACAAGCTGGACATTTATACTTGAGTCTTACTTTAAGTGGGGCTTATTGTAAGGATGATTCACCTAGCAGCATTTAAAACGCTTAGGCGGGGATGCCACGGTAGCTCAGAGGTAGAGCTCCTGCATATAGTGAGCGAAAGCGCCTACCAACAACTAGCAGAACAATCTTGAATTGAAGGGTAAAAACATCTCTCAGCTCTTTTATTTAAAAGAGCACAACGATGGAAAACATTTAAAATTGAATCTGAAAATAATTTTAAATTAAAAATAGTAGTATATTATTTTAATTTAAATTATAGATTCAAACTGATTGTTAAACTTTAAAAAATATTCTGCTTAAATTTGAAAAACTTTTGAGCATTCCAAGATTAGTTTTGACCAAAAAATCCCAGAATTTAGTCATGTCCCAGTTATTAACGCCTTAACAATTGCCCCTTCACAATACATAGTAGAGATCGAGATTTTTGAAAAGCCTGGGCCTGTTCCTGGGTTCCGGATTTGATCTATTGACCTGGGCCGGGTCCTGGGCCTGTAGTCCAGGAAAACCCCAGGCCCAGGAAAACCCCGGGAAGGTCAAAAAATGCCTGGGCCTGGACTCAGGGTACAGGAAAAACCCAGGCCTTGGTCCAGGCCCAGCTCGATCTCTAATATAATACATAGTCATACTCTCACCTAAATAATCTCGAATAACTACTCCCTACAACAAAAAGTTAGTTGAAATTGGTAGGTATGGGTTTAGCCACCTAAAAGGTCCATAATGTAATCAAAAACTTATTTCTAAAAAGATAAACAAATAATTGGTTTTTCAATTACTCATTTTAAAAGATTCTTTTACGTCGTCCTGTCGTGTGTGTTTATCCTTTTTTTATCGTCGTGTGTGTTTATCCTGACTTTAAAACATTAAGACGTACATATTTTAATCTATTCTGATTTTAAATTATCAAAAACAATGATTCCAAAATTTTAACAAATACTATTTTAATTTATATAATATTCTTAAGACATTCAAATTATAGAAAAAATTCTATAATAAATAAAATTAAAACGATAAAATTGATTAAATTTTTCCAAGTAAATTCATTGAAATAATAACATAAGAAGTACCCAAAAAATTTTCCCGTTATCAGAAAATAATAAAAAAAAATATGAACACATTATTATGGTTTTATTTTTAAATAAATATTGAGAAGAATTAATGTCGAACTCACAAACTTTCGATACTATAGTTATTGGCGCAGGAATTATAGGCAGTGGATGTGCTTATAAAATTGCAAAAAGTGGACAAAAAACGTTGCTTTTAGAACAAGTTTTTCTTGGATTTTAAGAAAATATTTTTTAATTTCTTTAAAGTTTTCTCTCGGCCATGCACACGGTTCTTCCCATGGAGCTTCTCGAATAATTCGCTGTACTCATGGAGAACCACATATCCTCCCGTTTGCTTTGGATGCTTTTAAAGAATGGGAGGAAATGGAAAAAATTGATAAAAATGCTGGGAAGGCTTTAATTATGTGAGGAAAATTAATTAAAAATAAAATAAAAATACGAAAATTTGACCGAAAGACAATTCACCGAAATTTTTTAAATTAATTTTATTTTTTACGAAATAAACTAAGATTCTTGACTATTTACATAAATATTTTTTTAATCCATCTAAAAACAGTAAATAATTAAAATCAAACAAATATCCCATAGATATGCTTTTGTGGACGAAAAAAAATATTAATTCGGTGAATTGTCCGTGAAAATTATTTTAGTGAAATGCCCCAAGTTTCGTTAAATTTCTTTCAAAATTAAAAAAAAATTTCTCTAAACAGAAAAAACGGAGTGTTAACAATAGATTATGATTGGAAAAGGACTTTAGAAAAATCAGATATTCTTCGGTCTTTTAATGTCCCTCACGAGATACTTTATGGAGGTTCTATTATACAACGACGTTTCCCTCAATTTGTAAATTTTGATAAAAATTATTCGGCAATTTATGAGCCTGGAGGGGGTGCTTTATTAGCTAATAATTGTTTAGAAGCTGTGCAGGTGAATTTAATGTTTATTATAAAAATTGGGGTACTTAATGTCTTTGTTTTTGAAATAAGTTTCGGTGAAATGTCCCAAACATGATATAAAGGGGTTTTTCAGAAATTTTGCTTTGTTGGGTTATAGCAGTGATGTTCTGATCTTAGAGCAGGTTCCACGAACTTTAAAATTATTTTGGAACCATCGGAAACCGGAGAAGCCGTTATATATTTTTAGAACTTCTCCATTTCTTGCCCCTTGCTAGACCTATGTATGTACAGAATTCCAGTTGGAACTAATTATTAAACTTTTACTTAATTTAGCATAACCTTCTTTTCAGTAATTTTAATTTAGAGACAATTCCAAGCCTTAGGATCTTTAGCCACTCTAAAGGATAACGAAAAAGTTTTGTCTATTGTTCCGATTTCACAAAAAGAAAATGGATTTTGGTTGCTAGAAGTTGCGACGAATAAAGGTTAGTAAATTGATTACCGTAAAAATTGATTACCGTAATTACCGTAAAATTTGAAATAAAATGTCCCTCTCTCAAATAATTACCCCCGCCCTTTAATTACCCCTTCAGCGAGAGGATGAAACAATAATTACCCTGGATAATTATTTAAGTATTTACGGAAACCCTTTTTATCTAAGGCTTACCCCTGTTTTTTGGGTTTCAGACCCTCTTAGAATAATTTATTAAATTATTAATATTAATTGTATTAAATCAACAAAAAATACTAGTTTGGATATACTTTAGTCTACCGGACGCGGAAAAAATACATGAAACCGGTACCATTCGATTCGTCTCACCGAGCTGAGTCGAATGGTACCACTCTCCATCTGCGGAAATGCCTACGAGCCGAGATATAGGTCCCCGAAAATCGAAAAACCATAGGGGGGAGTAAGGTCAATTTTAGGGTGAAAAAATCGATTTTTTGAATGATAGCTCATTCGATAGAGCTCTTCGAGCTGAGACGAATGACACCAAAATCAACGAAATCCGACTTGATTGGACAAAGTTATGATCTTTTATTTTAGCTCCTTACCTATGGCATCTATGGAGATTTTTGCTGCTACGGAGGCCCCAAATACGTCCAGAGCAAGGGAGATAGGAATAGGTTTATGTTACGAGCCCAGACCCAGCGCCCGTAGACTCCCCGCGAGGCGCGTGCCGCAAAACTCCGCGCGAAGCGCGGAGTTTTGCACAAGCGCCTCGCCGACGCTCCATAGGTTTAGTTGACCATTTTGAGCCTGTTTATTTTGGCTCAGAATTAAGATCTCGAGCTGATTTTGGTGTCATTCGTCTCAGCTCGAAGAGCTCTATCGAATGAGCTATCATTCAAAAAATCGATTTTTTCACCCTAAAATTGACCTTATCCCCCCTATGGTTTTTCGATTTTCGGGGACCTATATCTCGGCTCGTAGGCATTTCCGCAGATGGAGAGTGGTACCATTCGACTCAGCTCGGTGAGACGAATCGAATGGTACCGGTTTCATGTATTTTTTCCGCGTCCGGTAGACTAAAGTATATCCACTAGTTTAAAGCATAATTCCACATTACCATAAATTCAAAAAAAAATTTTTATTACAAAAAAGGTACTTGTTATTATGCAAATAACGTAGTTGTAGCAACAGGTGGATGGCTTCCCAATTTATTACCAAATATTCCAGTATTACCCCATCGTGTTGGTGTGTGTTTTTGGAAGGTTTTAAGCAGGCCAGAATTATTTAAACCAGAAAATGGGACTGCCCCAAGTTTTGTTATTATAGAAGAAAATGGTCAAATATTTTATTCTTTACCTTGTATTGACTATCCTAATGCTATTAAAGTAAATTTTGAATTTTTTAAAATTTTTAGCAAAGTTTTTTTCCTTAATTTTCCTGGGGTTCAGACGGTTCATTAATAAATTTTTCGAGAATTCCTTCTCAGCAGAAAGTTTCATAAAGACTTGGTTTGTTAATTATCTCATTGCGTTCCCAAAATGGCTTAATATAGTCCGAAGATCGAATCAAGTATCGAATATTTTGCCCTAAAAGACTCGTACAGCCCGACTCTATAAGGATAAGATCTGAATATTGGTTCAGATCTTATCCTTATAGTATTGGTTCAAACATACTTTTCAGTTTTAATCTTTAATTACTTAGATTTAGCTATTTGCAGAACATCCTGTGGGCTCCTGTCTTAAAGGTTTTTAGCTAAAACGGGATTCGCCATTACTATGTATTTATATAAACTCCTCTCTTTATGTTAAAATTTTCGAGTAGATCAGGCTATAACTTATATATTTATTTTAATGTCAAATCTCGTTAATTTTACATAATATTCTTCAATTTTCGTCGAGCACATTTCAAAGGATATCGTGTTTACTGGGCTTGTGGCTTAAAAAATCTTGAGACATTTTTATTCTCAGTTTTAATTTCAAAAAACAAGAAATTTATTTTTAATTTTATTTCAATTAAAGTTAGCTCTTCATGGATGGGATTTACCCATTACCAATATGGATGACCACATCTTTGGAGATAAAACAAAGATTTCCGACTGGACAGGGATTAGTTCATTTATTTCCAAACACTTTCCAGATTTGGATTCTTCTTCTCCAATGTTTAAATGTGCCTGTGTTTATAATGTAATTGTTCAAAAATATTTTTTTTAACAAATTTTCGATTTAAGCTAACTGAAGACGAAAATTTTATTGTCGACAGACACCCACAGATTCCAAATTTATTTATTGCGGGAGGCTTTTCTGGCACTGGATTTAAACATGCCTTAACTATTGGAAAGATTATTAGTAATTGGATTAATGGCAAAAATGTTGATTTTGATATGGAAAAGTTTAAAATTAATAGGAAAACTAATGTTTTGATGAAAGCTAGAATTTAGAAATTTTTTTTGAAAAAATTTTTTTAGGAAATTATTTGTTTGAAATTTCAGACAAATTAAAATAATTATTGTCCGAGTTGAGGAATAATTTCCTGAATTAACAAATGCTCAATCTGGGTTTGCCTATTAACTCGATGCTAAAGCCCCGTTCCCATATATTTTTTACTTTAAGGATTCCCCGATTCAACATGTCATATGCTGATTTTTAGGCCATTCCCCGATCCTTGACAATCCATTTTTGATTTTATATTTCCATTTTCCACAGTCCATCCACTCTTATTTCCAAGCCGTTTTCTCATTTTTCCGACATCCCCGCTTCCTGGAAAAATTCCTTTTTGACGAATCAAGGACCAATTCTAATTTTTATTATCGTGTCACAATATCTCTCAAATGCTTACCGAAGCTGGGGAATAATATTCCTTTTTTTCTGAATTTTACTGAAACTAACTAATTAATTGAGCCTTTTATCTAGAAAATTTATTTTTTAATATTTTTATTGTAAAATTATTTTTTGTTTTTTTAATAGAAAAATAATTTTTAATAAAAAATTTTTTTTGTTTAATAAAAATAAATAAAATTACCACATATTTTTATTACTTTTCTTTAACTATTCTTTACCCCCCTCAATTTTATTTCACCAAAAAGTGGACGTAAATTGAACTAGACATTATAGGCACAATTCCCCAATGCTTAATTCTCTTTGAAAAAACATTTAAAAAATAGAGGGGAGAGGACAAAATATTTTTTGGAATTTGGAGAATTTTATGCGTATTTTTGTTGTTAGAAAAATATTTTTGAAAATTTTTTGAAAAAATTTTTTCCCTTAAAAAATATTTTTTCCTTGAAAAAATAAAAATTTTCTCCCCTTTTCCGTTTAAAAATGATTAATTTTGACATGTGAGTCCTTTTTATTCTGATTTTAATAAATTAAATTAAAGTATCCCCTCAACTAGCCAACTTAGTCAATTAGAAGTGCCATGCACTAGTTCTTCAATTCGAGTGCCTGACAGACCTATTATTGAAATAAGTAGGCGAGGGAGATGCTTTCAATTTTTATTTTATGTAAGCTCAGTTAAATTTGCTTTAAAATATATTTGTATTTTTGTGCTAACCCTTAAGGAACTTGAGGCAGCCTAGGATAGATTTAACAGTCAATTTTCCCCAAAAAACTCAAGATGGGTTTCTTGGCCAAAACCTGTCTAAGACTAGTCACTCACTCAATTGTCGATTTTTAAGATTTTTTTAGAATTTTCATTTTGCCCTCTTTAAAGGGGTAAATTCCCCCTCCCCCCCCCCCTTTTCCCCCTATTTAGAGTGAAAAGAATTCCTCTATTAAATTTTTTGTTTTAATTTTTTTAATCGGTTTATTACCATAATTTTAAGACAAAAAGAATCGCTTCATTTTGAAGTATCGTCTAAGGTAATTTTATATTTTAATTCAGCCCCTTATCAACATGAGATGTACAGAACAATCCATTTGGGCTATAAGCACTTTATGCGGAATTTTCGTTCTGTGTGCACAGACAGCACCTATCTTCTTGGTTTTTAAAAATTAAAAATTTTTTTAAATAAATTTTAAGCTCGATTGGGTTCACATCAGAGAACCTCGGCCGTTAAATATTCCGCCCCAAGGAGAGCCTCCAACATTGAGTAGCGATGACAAAGGGCCTTTGGTAGTTAAAAAACTTTAAAAAAATTTCAAAAAAATTTCAAAAAAAATTTTCCCAAAAGGAAATTCCATTTGAATATAATGCTGGATATTTTGGAATGTGTAGAAGGTGGATAGCAACAAATCAAAGTTTAAATAGCGGAAATAATCCAATAGAAAATTTGCCTCCACTAAAAGAATTGGAGAAAATTATGCCTTCTTTAGCTCCTGATACTTGTGTTTGGAATTCGGCTTATTCTGGAGAAGATCTCAGTGAATTTAGTTTTGCTACTAGTGCAATTTTGGGTGAGTTGATAAAGTCGAATCTCGGTTTTGAACCCTTCATGGCGTTCAGGATATCCTAAGACCAAGGTCCGATTGTTATGTTCTACTGGTCTTAGAACTGATCCCAGAAGCACGGTTTTAGAACAGACTCCCAGAACTGAAGATCAGGAACTATAAACATTTTAGAACCGCCAGCAACCAAAATTTAGTGATCATATTGAGATTAAAGGAGTCGATTAGAGCAGTCAAAGGTATCGGAACTAAGGGTCGGATAGTCTGAAATCTTCGGATCAGGTATCCGAACCGAAAATTTTCGGAAATCCGTTCTTTTTTTCGGATCCGGTATCCGAATCCGACACGATTTCTCAATCCGATTCTAGTGAAGACACCTTAATCGGAACTACTATAGATTTGCCTAATAAAATTGCCTAACTGAACTGTTCTTACTGATTTTCTCTTCCTTCCAGCATATCCTCCTTTCTTATCTATCCTCCTTTCTTATTTTTACTTTAGTCCGCCTTTTAATCCCAACAATTATGCATTGTTCTGGTGCTTTATTAACAGCTTTTGCTTTATTATTTTCATTTCTTGGACATTTTGGGCATAATTGGAAAACTATATTTTCAGCAATTTTATATATTTGTGGAGGTCTAATCGTTCTAATTGGAGTTTTACAAGTTATTTGTATTGTGGATGATGAAATGGCACCTAGAATGAAGCCTAACGCTGCTGGAGAACCTTCTGTCTTTACTTTTAGATATGGCTAGTCTTTTAAGAATTTTTTTGAAATTTTTCAATTTTTTAAAGGTTTTTCTTTTATGGCTGCAGCACTCAGTTTTCTACCAGTGCAACTTTGTGTGTGGCTTGAAGTGGGGAATTTTTAAATTAAGATAGGCCAAAATTTAGTATTAGATTAGGAGAGGGGTTCGGAAAGAGTCGGGAATTTAATTTGAATAACGAATCCGAAGATTTCAAAGGATACCCCAGCTCTTCTTAGATTATTGTTATCGAACGGGTATATGTATCAGTGATCGAGCTAGAGATCGGCCTGGGTCTGGACCAAGGCCTGGGTTTTTCCTGTATCCAGAGTCCAGACATAGGCACTTTTTGTCCTTCCTGAGTTTTTCCTGGACTACAAGCCCAGATCCCAGGATCAGGCCCCCGGCCCAGATCAATAAATCAAACCCAGGAAAAGGCCCAGGCTTTGAAAAATACCGATCTATAGATCTAGCCGACATGAAAAATAAATTCCCAAATTTGGGAATTGAGATTCTCAGCCCAAAAAACGCCGAGAATTCCTGATTTTAGTGAATCGTGACAGTTAGAACCCTGATACGTATTATATTTTCTCGAGCAAAATCATTTTGAATAAATCTCAATTGAACTCACTCAATTCTCATTTATTCAAATAAAAAAAGGAATCTTAACTTTTAAAGGTAACCGCCTTCTTTTTACGACATCAAACACCAACCGACAAAAGTCGCGTTGTACCGGGTTTACATGAATTACGTAAAAAATTTTAAATTAAAAAGCAAAAAAATTTTTTCTTCTCAAGTCAATCAAGTTACAATAATTAGAACGAGAACCCATCGTTTAGGAAGGCTTGGAGGCTTTGCCCTCCAAGGTAATAATAATGTGGGAGGAAGTAGTGGAAGGTTTGCAAATAGAAGACGGTCATCTAGAGCATCAAAAGATTTGAGTGGAATGATGTTAAGTGGTGGTGGTGGTGGGTTAAATGGAGGAGAACCTGTTGTTCAAAGAGTTTTTTCTTTTCAACATCTTTTTGTTTAAAATTAGAAAAAAATCTTTAATTTTTGAATAAAAAAGAAATTTTAAAAAATTCTAAATATAAATTAAAATTTTATTAATTTTAATTAAAATTAGTTGAGGATCAGTCTTCAGTAAAAATAAATTAAGCAAAAAAAAGTACTTGGGTTTAAAGAAATTTTCATCACTTAAAAAATTTTTTGGAAATTAAATTTTAATTAGACCAAGTACTTTTTATAGAAATTGAAAAAAAAATTTTTTTTAATTTCTAAAATTTGTTAAAGCTTTTAGAAAAAATTTGAATTAGTCTGTTTCTATCCCTAAAATCCGCAGTTTGTATTAAAATTATTCCCGCATAAAAAATCCCATTCCATACAAAATCGTTAATAACAGTCAAAATACGAGGGGCGGAAGACAAAACTTTACAAAAAAACAGAAAAAACCTCTCAAAATTAATTATGCAATAAAGAAAAACTTGCGGACAAATTTTGCGGATTTTGGGAAAATAACAAAAATTAAATATGATTTTTAACAAGTCTGGGGAAATTTAAAGGAATGTTACAAAAATTAAATTTTTAGTCAAAAAATATATTCAAAACCTTTTCGTTTGTTTGGAAGAGGACCAAGGAGTACATTCAACAGAGTGAAGTCTTTCATAGGCAATTTTAATTCCACTCGCATCAGAAATTCCATTAATAGCGGTAACATAGGGAATTCTTTTTCCTGTCTTCTTTTCTACTTTGCATTTTTCATGAAGATTGAGCTTTAAAAAATAAATTAATTTTTAATCATTCTTTGGTGGAATTTAAGTATTTGGAAATTTTAGTTTGGAAGACGTCCTCTTTTCTACTTTACACTTTTCATTATTTTCCCAAAATCCGCAAAATTTGTCCGCAAAATTCTATTTGTCTAATTAATCTTCAAATTTTTTGGTTCTTTTTTATTGGCCTTCCTATGAACTTTCTGCGGACATTTTACTCTTTTTCCTCATTTTTAAGCAAAAAATTAATTTTTATAAGTTAGTTGAGCGCGAAAATAGAATTAAAAGAGTAAAAGAAAAGGCCACAAACCTCCTCTCACCCGCCCCCATTCCTCATTTTTTATTTAAAAATAATTTTAAAAAACCCCAATTTACATGTTTTCCAATTCTAAAGTGTTCCCAAATACTAAATTTTTTAACATTTGCTAAATTGGCCAAAATTCCCGTATAAAGCACATCCTCAATTGGAAAAGCATGAACACTCTCTGTAAGATTCATTATTGCTTGAACTGCTTTTGATGTAAGTAAATATGTTGGGCCGTTGGTGTAATGTGGAAATATTGGATGGGGAAAGTCAATTGGGGAGACATACCTTCAAAAAAATTAAAAAAAAATTTAAAGGTTGGAAGAAAAAGGTGTTTCAAAAAGTAAAAAAAAAAGATTCAAATTTACAGACAACATAAGGAGTGTCCCCTCAAAGGACAGAATTTTATGGGGGCCAAACAATAACAAGGAGAGGTTGCGAGGTGTCTGACTTAAAAACGGTCGAGACTGGGCTCATTCGATAAAGAATGTTATCTTTCTAGCAAGGATTTTGAGCAGTTTTTGCCCGTTTTTTGATCTGGCCAAGAGGACACATTCTCTATCGAATGAACCCGGTCTCGACCGTTTTTAGGTCGGCCACTTCGCAACCTCTCCTTATACTATGTAAGTGAAATCGGGTTCCAAGACTTCAAATAAAAAATTCCCTAAATTTTGGACTTTAATGAAGGAATTGCCTGATATTGTGGAAATTCTAAAAGAATCCAATAAAAAAGATTATACCATCTATGCTTTTCATTACGAATTGGAGTCGATCTTTTAATCATTCCACCAAAAACAGCAGCAGGGTATTTAGACACTCTGTGACCAAAATCATTGTCTATCCACCAAAAAAGTCTGTCAAAATCAACAATTGTGTCATCATCTGTTTTTAGAATATATTGAGCAGTTGAACAGAAGATTTGTTGCCATTGGAGAGCTACATAAACCTAAAATAAATATTTTTAGTTGGCCTTAAAGGTTTAAGGAACTTTGAGAAATAACCCCTAGAAGGATATTAAATAATCCCACCGATTTTATTTTCTTTTTGGTACGATTCCGTTATACCTACCTCCTTCTTGCAAACTATTTTTGCGTCTCTAATTGAACATGCCACATAAAAATTGAGTGAAATTAAGGAGGATGGAGACTGACCATTCTTTACATAAGGCAGTCCGCAAAAAAAGTCCGCAAGAAGGGGGTAGAGATAACGGAAAAGCACCCTCTTTTCTCTCTAAAAATGGCTAGTGTGCCCAACTGATCACTTACTGCCTAGAAAACCATAAAAAAGCAAACCTTCAAATACAAATTCCTGTAAGAATCGTCAATATCATAAACAACTAAATCGTCAAATTTGATCAATTCCTCTTGCATTAATTCAAATACTTTTTGTTCTTGCGGCCATCCAACAATGAATTTCAACACAATACTAAAAATAAGTTCAAATCCATAAGAATTCAATTAAAAATACCTCCTCTCTGCCTAAAAACAAAAATAAAATTTTATCAAAAAATTCAAAAAAAAATTTCCAAACCAAATTCGCTCCCCAAGAATTTCTAATCATATGCCGTGTATAAAATCCATCAGCTCTACTCGGAACAAAAACAAACATTTTGGTCTTTAAAGGGCATATTCCATTTGGTGTAGGCAATATAATTGTGTAATTAATTTTTAAATTTTTAAAAGAAATGAAGAGATTGTCTGTTGGAAAAGGAAATTCTTCATAAGCAATTACACCAAAATTTTCAGTTATTGGTTCTGTATCAATGTCAATTGTTTCATAATCCTTTTGGTCAATTTCCAATTTTTCTTCTTTTTGTTTTAAGTCAGTCTTTTCAGGTGTTAAAACTTTGAAATAAAAAAAAGTTTTCTTTAAAATTTCTTTAAAAATACCTTTAGAATGTGAAATTTCAATGTTTAGGAGCATCAAAAATAAAATTAGAACAAAAGAATTCATCTTCTTGGAAAGGGCAAAATGATCAAAATATAAATTCTAATCCTAAAACAAAATTGAAAAAAAAATTCCAGATTAAATCAAGCAGATATTTTCGAATGAGGGAAAGGAATTCAATTTTTTAGAAAAGAAATTAGAGTGATCAAATAAATTTAGAATTCTAGAAAAAAAACTCTTCAAAAAATAAAAAACAAAAATTTTTAAAAAATTTACTGGGCAATATATTTTAGAGGCAACAATTCTCAACAACTTTTGAGAAAAAAACAACAACAAATAACTTAATTTTTTAGCCAATTTAATTTTATTTAGAATCCAATTAAGCCTCTGCCCATAAGTTCTTAAATGTCACCATCAGCCACTCTCACTGAAATGAACGATTTAAAATTAAAACTTACTAGGGAAGGTTGCGAGGTGTCCGAGCTAAAAACGGTCGAGACCTACAAAGGGCATATTCCCTATCGAATGAGCCCGGTCTCGACCGTTTTTAGCTCGGACACCTCGCAACCTTCCCTAGTTAGTAGAACAAGGATAAATTTTTAATCATTCCTATCTCATAAATCGTGGGCAAAACCGTGGGAGTGATAAGTAGGGATCGGATTTATATTGAAATAAAATCGGAAAATATGGCCATAAAATATTGAAATAAAGTGGCAAAATATTGACAAAAAATGGAAAAAACTAGCTAAATATTGAAATAAATTATCGTTTATTCACTAGAAAACCTCCAAAAAAAGTTGAAATTTAACAAAAAAAATAACCACGTTTTTAAAATCGACTTTATAGCTCGACAAATCGAGTATTTTTACTCTCTTGGACATTTTTTGATTGATAAAATGAGGATGGGACATTTTGTGGGTTTTCTCAATGTGCCATTTCGGGTTTTGTCCTGTGGGACATTTTAAGGGCGAAGCATTTTGGAATGGGCCTTTATGGGGACCTTTGGTCATTTACACATTTTGACAGCACTGTAGGCCATAACATCCCCTTTTCAGCGCCGCAGGCGAAAATTTTGAGAATTTTGGTTGTCAAACGTCTAGATTTCTTCACTTTTTTCCTAAAATTTATGAAAAATCCCAAAATTTTGTAAAAATATGCAAAAATATTGAAATAATTTGAAAAAAGCGCGAAATATTGAAATAACGGGGAAATTGGCAAAATATTGAAATATATTGAAATGTAACTTTGTTCAAAATCATAATACCGAAAGACTAATGGCATATTTGGGCTTTTCTCGACATAATATATTCAGGAAAAAAAAATATATTTCAATACAAATCCGATCCCTAGTGATAAGAAATAAATCCACACTCAAAAAATTTAAAAAAAAAGGGTCTAGGTCAATAATTCGCACACAAAACATTTTACCTTGCAGAAAGCATGCCACGGCTCTTAGCGTATCGATTCATTAAGAGGTGCAACGTGGTCACAACTTCTAAAAAATATTAATTTATACATTAAATAGCCGAATAAAAAACCTTCGGAAAAACGCAACCAATCGTCCAGAGCCGAATCGGCAACCAAAGCAACGGTTATCGAATTCTGAAACAAAGAATGAAGTCGATCCTTCTTTACGATAAAGGCAGGCTTGTTCTAAAAATTCAAAGATAACAAATTTTGATCTATAAATTATAAAGTTAAAAAAAGAACAGAATCAGGACTTAATTTTTCAGGTCAGAATGAGTTCTGATCAATCAATTGTACCTTACGGACTCAAAGTTTAAATATTGCTAAAATATTTTACTATAAATTTAACAAACCTTCTCGAAGAACTGCCACTTAACGTCCTTAATGACCTAAAAGATAATTAACTGATAATTTAGTTTATGATTCATCAAAACCTGCGCAATTCCCTCAGAAAACTTCGCATTCCACTTGAACCCCATAAAGACATCTTAAAAACAAATTTTTTAATTTTAACTTAAACAAATGAACCATCAAATTCATTGCAGAAAAATTTTAATTGCGTTTCAGTCAATGTGTCTTCCTTACCATCCAAGCTTTGCAAATAGCCCATAGCTTTGTTGAAGTTATCCTTAATGGTTGTCTTTGTCTTAAAATAAAAAATTAAATATTTTAAAATGACCACTGAATATCAAAAACAAACAAATATAATATTGACTATCCAATTTCCTTGAAGTTTGAGAACAAAAATGTCAAAATCTTTTGATACTCTAATAATACTCCATTTAATATTAAGGGGGAAGAATTTAAGTACAGGGTGCGGCAAATTAAGCGCGCGTTTGTTTTTTGCCATAACTTTCTTCAATTTTAATGAAAATTGATAATTCTTTTTTTGTTTTATTCCCAACACGTTAGGAAACTTGATGATACCAAATATTAAAAATTTGGTTCACTGTTGGCAAAGATAATCGAGTTCGGACGTCTGAAAAATTTAAAAACATTTTTTATGCCAAAGTTTAATTGATCATAACTTCGTTCAAAATCGTTCAATACAAATGATTTTGGTACTAAACGACTCATCTCGTCCAGGAGCATCGAAATAGCTTATAATCTCATTTTTGAAAATTTTACACAAAAATTTTATTTTTATCAAAATTATTTTAATTTATAATTCAGAGGACCGTATCTCATTCGATTTTTGTCGTAGCCCCATGATTTTTATGTCATTCGAATCAGAATGAAGAGCTGATTCGAATGATATAAACATTTCCAATATTAGAATCTCAGCCTTTTATCTAGGCCAATTTTTATCCAAAAAATTCTGCTCAAACTTTGAGGGAAGTTTACTCAGAATAAACTTAAAATTAAAAAGCAATTTTGGTATCAGTAAGTTTCCTAAAGTGTTGGGAATAAAACAAAAAAAGAATTATCAATTTTCATTAAAATTGAAGAAAGTTATGGCAAAAAACAAACGCGCGCTTAATTTGCCGCACCCTGTATTTCTAATATCAAAGGACAGAATTTTATGGGAGCCAAAACCCAAGTGAAATCGGGTTTCAAGACTTGAAATGAAAAAAATTGGCTCTACTACAGTTTATGAGTCCAATCGAATTTCATGACTTTCAGAAATTTCGAAGGATAGGTTAAGGAACGGTCCCAGACCCAGTGGGCGTAGATCCCGAACATGAAATGGTTTATAACCATGCTTACTTTGAAATACCAAAAAAAAATCCAATTATTTTTTTGTTGGACTTATAGTTTGATTGGACTCATAGACAATAGTAGGGCCAAAAATTCCCTAAATTTTGGACTTTTCTGAAGGAAATTGCCTAATATTGTGGAAATTCTAAAAGAACCCAATAAAAAGATTATACCATCTATGCTTTTCATTACGAATTGGAGTCGATCTTTTAATCATTCCACCAAAAACAGCAGCAGGGTATTTAGACACTCTGTCACCAAAATCATTGTCTATCCACCAAAGAAGTCTGTCAAAATCAACAATTGTGTCATCATCAGTTTTTAGAATATATTGAGCATTTGAACAGAAAATTTGTTGCCATTGGAGAGCTACATAAACCTAAAATAAATTTTTAGTTGACTTTAATGGCTTAAGGAACTTTGAGAAATAACACTCAGAAAAATACTAAACAATTCCTCCGATTTCATTTTCGCGGCTTTTCTCTATGAACACCGTAAATGCTCTCTAATTAAAGCCCTGGGCGCTATTTTTCAAAGGATCAATTTGGTCTTTAAAGGGCATTCTAATAGAGCCGGGCTTTAATTAGAGCATTTACGGTAGTTAGTTTCTCGATAAATGGCTCACTAAAGTGAGAAGAGTCCATTAATGCCTACCTCGGTTAATTACCCCCTAGAAAACCATAAAAAAGCAAACCTTCAAATACAAATTCCTGTAAGAATCATCAATATCATAAACAACTAAATCGCTAAATTTGATCAATTCTTCTTGCATTAATTCAAATACTTTTTGTTCTTGCGGCCATCCAACAATAAATTTCAACACAATACTAAAAAGTTCAACTCCATAAAAATTCGGCTGTACTTTAGCCGGTGGCCCACTCAGAAACGTGTCAAATTATATACCATTCGATTCGTCTCGGCGAGCTGAGTCGAATGGTACCATTCTTTTTTTGCGGAAATGCCTACGAGCCGAGATATAGGTCCTTGAAAACCGAAAAACCATAGGGGGGAGTAAGCACAATTTTGGGGTGAAAAATTCAAATATACAAATGATAGCTCATTCGAAAGAGCTCCTCGAGCTGAGTCGAATGACACCAAAATCATCGAAATCCGACTTGATTTAACAAAGTTATGAGCATTAGTTTTAGCTCCTTACCTTTGGTCTCGTGCAGGTTTTTGTTGCTGGGGAAGAAGCCAGACATGCCGACCACAGCTAAAATAGGCATAGGTTTTTGTTACGAGCCCAGACCCAACGCCCGTAGACTCCCCGCGAGGCGCGTGCCGCAAAACTCCGCGCGAAGCGCGGAGTTTTGCACAAGCGCCTCGCTGACGCCCCATAGGTTTATGTTGATTGTTTTTTGTGTTGTAACTTTGTCTAATCTTACTCAATCACGGTGATTTTGGTGTCATTCGACTCAACTCGTCGAGCTCTTTCGAATGAGCTATTATCTGTGTAAAAAGCTTATAATTCCAAAAATCGTCCATTTTGATCTTCGTTTTTTAGGGGCCTATATCTCGGTCAAATCAAGTCGGATTTCGCTGATTTTTGTGTCATTCGACTCAGCTCGAGGAGCTCTTTGAATGAGCTATCGTTTAAAAAATCGAATTTTTCACCCCAAAATTGTGCTTACTCCCCCCTTTGGTTTTTCAGTTTTCAAGGACCTATATCTCGGCTCGTAGGCATTTCCGCAAAAAAAGAATGGTACCATTCGACTCAGCTCGCCGAGACGAATCGAATGGTATATAATTTGTCCCGTTTCTGAGTGGGCCACCGGCTAAAGTATATCCAAAAATTCAATTAAAAATACCTCCTCTCTGCCTAAAAAACAAAAATTAAATTTTTCAAAAAATTTCAAAAAAATTTCCAAACCAAATTCGCTCCCCAAGAATTTCTAATCATATGCCGTGTATAAAATCCATCAGCTCTACTCGGAACAAAAACAAACATTTTGGTCTTTAAAGGGCATATTCCATTTGGTGTAGGCAATATAATTGTGTAATTAATTTTTAAATTTTTAAAAGAAATGAAGAGATTGTCTGTTGGAAAAGGAAATTCTTCATAAGCAATTACTCCAAAATTTTCAGTTATTGGTTCTGTATCAATGTCAATTGTCTCATAATCCTTTTGGTCAATTTCCAATTTTTCTTCTTTTTGTTTTAAGTCAGTCTTTTCAGGTGTTAGAGCTTTGAAATAAAAAAAAAAAGTTTTCTTTAAAATTTCTTTAAAAATACCTTTAGAATGTGAAATTTCAATGTTTACAAGCATTAAAAATAAAATTAGAACAAAAGAATTCATCTTCTTGGAAAGGGCAAAATGGTCAAAATATAAATTCTAACCCTAAAAAAATTAAAAAAAAATCCAGATTAAATCAAGCAGATATTTTCGAACGAGGGAAAAGAGTTCAATTTTTCAGAATAGAAATTAGAGTGATCAAATAAATTTAGAATTCTAGAAAAGACTTCAAAGAATAAAAAAACAAAAAATTTTTAAAAATTTACTGGGCAATATATTTTAGAGGCAACAATTCGCAACAAATTTTGAGAAAAAAACAACAACAAATAACTTAATTTTTTAGCCAATTTAATTTTATTTAGAATCCAATTAAGCCTCTGCCCATAAGTTCTTAAATGTCACCATCAGCCACTCTCACTGAAATGAACGATTTAAAATTTAGTAGAACATCAATTTATTGATCATTCCCATCCTAAAATCGTGGGCAAAACCGTAGGAGTAAAAATATAAATCCACTCAAAAAATTTAAAAAGAAAAAGATGTAGGTCTAGGTCAATAATTCGCACACAAAAACATTTTACCTTGCAGAAAGCATGCCACGGCTCTTAGCATATCGATTCATTAAGAGGCGCAATTTGGTCACAACTTCTAAAAAATATTGATTTATACATTAAATAGCGAATAAAAAACCTTCGGAAAAACGCAACCAATCGTCCAGAGCCAAATCGGCAACCAAAACATCGGTTATCGAATTCTCGAACAATGAATGAAGTCTACCTTTCTTAATGCTAAAGGCCGGTTTAGTCTGAAAATTAAAATATAATTCTGATCTATAAATTATATAAAGTTAAAAGAAGTCCAAAATCAGGACTAAATTTTTCAGGTCAGAATGATTTCTTATCAATCAATTTACTATAAATTTAACAAACCTTCTCGAAGAAAGGCCACTCAACATCCTTAATGACCTAAAAAATAATTAAATGATGATTTGGTTTATAATTTATCAACACCTGCGCAAATCCAGCATAGAACCCAGCATTCCACTTGAACCCCATAAAGACATCTTAAAAACAATTTTTTAATTTTAACTTAAACAAAATAAACCATCAAATCCATCGCAGAAAAAATTTAATTGTGTTTCGGTCAATGTGTCTTCCTTCCCATCCAAGCTCTGCAAATAGCCCATGGCTTTGTTGAAGTTATTCTTAATGGTTGTCTTTGTCTTAAAACAGAAAAATTAAATATTTTAAAATGACCATTGAATATCAAAAACGAACAAATATAATATTGACTATCCAACTTCCTTGAAGTTTGAGAACAAAAATGTCAAAATATTTCGATACTCTAATAATACTCCATTTAATATTAAGGGGGAAGAATTCAAGTATTTCTAGTAATAATTCTAAGGGTAATTTCTTTTCAATATCCATTGTGAAAAGTTTTTCACAATTGAATTCCAAAAATCATAGCTCATAAGATTAAGGCCAAAAATAAGGAAATATGCCCGTTAAATAAAGGCTAAAGCCATTGACACGACGTTAGAGTCTTATTTGTTAGCCATTACTGTGCTATGACTCTAATGCAAAATGGACTATCCGGCGCCTAGTTGGCCCACTAACAGATTGGCCGGCTTCAGTTCAAAATAGCAAATCTGGTATGAAATCTTTTGACATTTTTGAATCAAACAGAAAAATAACCGTTTCTATTTTATAATTAAGATATAAAACTGTAAACAGACCAAAGTAGCCATTGAGATGAATAGCCAAAAAAGCAAGAATTATAGAGAATTTTACGTTTCTAAAAAAGATTAAATTAGAAAAAATGAGAATCTACATAACTAAATGAAGCGCGATAACTGATAATTTTGTACACACCCCTAAACAAAGAATAGTACAATCAATATATTCTAATTCGAGAATAACTCCTTAAAACATTCGGGAATGCGGGAGGAACATTAAGAATGCAAGGTCTATGAATGTTCTTTGAATTCTTTGAAAGGGAATGAAAGAATTAAAAAATATGCATACATGAAAATAAAAATTCTAAAAAAGGTGACTAGTTAAGAATGAAAAAGCTCAAGTTTTAGAAAGTGTACTAATTAGGGAGAATAAGGAGGATAATAAATAAATAAACAAAAGTCAACAAATTTAAATAATGAACACTTTTGTATTAAAGTTCCCCCTTTTATAGAAAAATTTAAAATTACAAAACGCCAAATTTTGAAATAGAAAAAAGTGCGAAGGAGGCCAATTGAGTCCCACAACGCGTGCGATCAACAAAGCAAAGGAACTTTTCCTCCTTGCTTTTTTAAAAGCTGCACTAATCTTTCCCATGATTTGGTAATCGCTGTCTTTCAGCATCACTTTTTTACTTTTGATCAGAAAAACTTATCTCATGCAAAAATTAAATTTTTTTCTATTTTAAAAATCAAATTTCAGTAAAACATTCAGAGCAATCTCTTTTTCTTAATCATCAAACTATTCATTAATTTAGCTAGATGTCGTATCGCAAATCTGGACCATATTCAGACAATACTTCTGTGGATGATGGTATGCCCTTTTAATCTAAATTAATTCGAAAAAAACTTTATAAGATCCATTAACAGACGACGATTCAAAGAAGAATGAGGACAGAATTCGAGAACTTGAGAGAGCAAATCGTGAATATGAAAGTACAGTTCAGGATTATCTTAGGCAAATTATTACTTTGCAAAACTCTTTGAAGAAGTCTCATGGGAAGGAATGTGCTGAATTGATTAAAGAAAAGTGTCAGGAAGTTGAAGAGGTTTAAAATATTTAATTTTGAGGTAAAATTGTCGTTTACTTCTTCCCTTTTTCCTCCCCAAATTTTTTAGGTGAGTGCTAACTCAAAGAACAGACAAGTCAAGAAACATAATTTTAAAAAATTCTGAAAAATCCTGAATTCCATGATTTGGTCATTCTATGAGTTGGTCGTTCCTTGACTTGTCTTTTCCTTAACTTGTCTGTTTATCGAGTTAGCCCGACAGGATTCTTCCTAGGAATTTATATAATGGTCAACTTTGTATTTTTACCCTTGAAAACCCTCGATATTTCCTTTCAAATGTCTTCAGGCCAAAAGGTTTTCAGGGTGTAGGTCTTCACGTTGACACCTCATAAGTATTAATTTTTTTGAAGGAAAAAGGAGGGAAAATTTGGGGAGGAAAAAGGCGTAAACGACAATTTTACTTCAAATTTGACTTTGAATTTTCTTTTAAAAAAAGTTGTTGAAGAACAAAAAGAGTTTGGAAGAAGACGTGGAGCACTGTACTACAGATTATAATCAGGTTATGGCTACTTTTGCTGAGAATAAGCGGGATGCTGACAAACGAGAGGCCAAACAGGCGGAGACGATTAAGCAGCTTCAAGCGAAGATTGAACTGAAGGATCGAGAAATTGAGAAGGTTTGGAAATTTTGCCTTGTTTTCATTAAATTTTGATTTTTGTAGCTTCGCAAATTGATTCCATGTGAAGGTTATTGTCAGCCGAACGGTGCTTTCTTGCAGCAGAATATGACGTTTGAATTTTTTATTTTCAAGGGTTACTAGAAATTTAGGGATTTAAATTCGTGATCCTGGACCTTAGATCCTGGGCTTTGATCAGCTATAACTTTTCGATTTGGGAATCGGTGGGAAAAAGCCAAAAATTGGCAATAGGTTATCGACCCTGCTCTACACGATGGTGCAAAAAATTTTCTAAATTTTTTACATAAAGTTCGGAATGTTGGCTCTATATGAAATGAAGTCCCAAATCAAATTTTTTCTATCTTCCTTAAAATGAGTAATTTCCTTTACATTTCTCTCTATTTTTGATTTGTGCCGTAAGGCTATAAATTGAAAAGAATTAACTGAACGAATGTTTTGTGTCCGTTTCTCTGTCTGTGTCCGTCCGAGTTCGTCCGTGTTTGTCTGTCCGAGTCGTCAGAAACGGTTTTAAATCGGTTCTGCACCTTTGCCGGTTCCAAGGTTCGGTTCCGGACCTTTACCGGTTCCACGAACACGGACTCGGACAGACAAAACACGGACGAACTCGGACGGACACAGACAGAGAAACGGACACACACGGTCATAAACACACGAAAACACGTTCAGTTAATTCTTTTCAATTTATAGCCTTACGGCACAAATCAAAAATAGAGAGAAATGTAAAGGAAATTACTCATTTTAAGGAAGATGGAAAAAATTTAATTTGGGACTTCATTTCATATAGGGTCGGAATGTTTCCTTGAAAAGAAAACTCGGGGCCAGCAACACCAGAAAACTTTAAAAATCCCTAGGCATTACTACTCGAATTGCTGGGCTTAATTTCATAATTTAACAAAAAATTTTTTTTATAATTTAGACATTCTTTTATTCCAACAACTTCGAAAGATTATTTTGTCGAGAGTGCAATCAGTTGTCCTTTGGAGAAGAAAACTAAACAAGGAGGATTTTTTAGCCGTTTGTTTAGCCGTGAATCTGTTGTTACAGCAACTTGGGTATATTTCTTAAATTTAATTTTTTAGGGTTTTCGGGTTCTTACATAAACATGGCTTAACTTTGGTGGGTTATTTCCCTTTAGAAAAATCTAAAGAACCAAAAATTTGGGAAATTTGAACGAATTTTCTGATATTTTTTTGATGAGATTTTTAATTTTTCCGTCAATTTCCAATTTTCTCTAGTTATATTTGGCATTAAATTTATCAGAGAAAAGTTCCCCTAAAAATTTTGAATTTTTCAATTTGTAATTAAAAAGAGCGCTTTCTCCCAGGTTTTCTCCTTCCCTCCACTCCCCACTATTTTTTTATTGGTTTGATTGGAGGAAAATTAAAAGAAAAATTAGGGAGGAGAAGAAAAATAAGGGGAAAAGCATTAGAGTTCTCATAAAAATCAAATTTTTAAAATTATTTAAAAATATTTAAAATTATTTTTCAGTTTTTGGGATTCAACACTTTAATTGTCGTTCTCTTTGTTCACGTCTACATGTTTACTCAGCGGTGGTTCTAGAAAATTTTTTTTGAAAGGAAGGTTTAATTTTCTTTGGTTTCTAGGGTATATTAGTTAAAATAATTCATTTAAAAAATTATTCTTTGTTTTTAATTTAAATTTATGCAGTCAAGGTTCTTTAAAATCAAACAAAATTATAGTTTTTTAACAAAACATTTATTTTTTTTCGGGAAAAAAAATTAAATCAATATTTTAAAATTTTTGAATAAATTTTTTCCGGGTCATTTCTAATTGAAAATCATTTTTTAAAAAATTTTAAAATTTGTTTGGCCTCTGGGTGGAGGAATCCATCTAATTGATACCCCCTCCTCCCAATTTAAAATACAATGTAAAATAATTTTTCGTCTCCAAAGGTGTATAGTATTTTATATGAGGTTCGACCTTAAATTTGACTGTATAATTTATTTATTTTTTCAATTAAAATTTTCCCCTGTGCTATTTATTCTCGATCCGTGATCTTTAAAAAATCAAATCTAAATTTTATTGTTTATAAAAAATTGAGTTTTAAAATAAACTCGGAAATACCTCAAAACTTGAAATTTTTCTAATCCACCAAAAAATTTATTTATAAAATTTGAAATACAGCAATACGTCAAAAATTTTATTTTACTTGTTTTTTAGAGAAAAATAAGACTTCAACGAATCTCATTCAATTTTCAAAATTTTCCTTTTTTCATTTCTCTCAAATTAAATTTCAGGATCAGCCCAATAACAATCTTCTTCAATTTTTAAATTATATTTATTCCCTCCATTTCGATATTCTGAGGTTACTATACGGAACCAGCCTTAAAAAAAGATTCTTTTTTTAATTTGTTATAAGATTATTTCAGGTGTTCCTTACCATTTTCACCCCAAGCGGTGCCCCAACTATTTCGGCCAATCCAATAAGAAATTCCTGAGTTTTCGTCTTTTCCCCATCCGACAACCTTTTTAGAATTGAATTAAAATTTTGAAAAAAAATTTTTCAACTTACACTTATAATGTGGTTGATTTCCTGAAAATGTTTAAAATATTCGAAGAAATTTTTTTAAAAAATCTCTGACTTCATTAGTCTTTTCTTTATAAATACCGCCTGCATAATCATCAAACTTTTTGGTAGCAGCAATTCCACAAGCAATTGGTCCTCCTTTGTATATCTCTGCCCTATAAAAGAAATTTGATTATTTAAAATCCTCCTTCATTCTTTGGGGGTGTTGAAATTTCCCAAAATTGAATACTTTGCCAAAAAGTAATTTTACAATTTAACTATGGTGCCTTTCCTTAACTGCACGGTAGCCTCCACTAGAATAAGGTCATTCTTAAGCAGAACGACTCCCACCAATTATCACAACAACAATTTTAGGGCTTATCAGATTCTTTACCTTATCAAGGAAACTCTTAATTAAAAAATATATTACTTCATTTTAATAATTCCAGAAACCGGCCCAAATTCTTTCACCTTGTAGAGAGTATAATTTTTGATATCAAAACATCTATCCGGCCAACAACTTCCACAACGATTATAAGGATCGCATTCTTTAAAATTTAAATACTTCAGATGTCCCTATGAGAACCCTCTTGGGTTGAAAAAGATTGTCGCTTATATCGGGAGTATCTTAAATTGAGTTGTCTCTTAAATGGAGGTATCTAATATTGGAAGTATCTTAGTGAGTTCCAGCTGTAAAAATTAAACTCCTCACGTCCATCTTTTGCTTGATAATTATTGCAAGTCTCATGTGGAATTCCATGTTTATGTGCATATTCATAAACTGGCCCAACATCTCCACCTTCACAACTTCCAGCATTTGCACAGTCTATAACTTCTTGAACTGACAAATATGCTGGTGGCCAGGCATTTTTCCTTTTAATGTTTATGCGGTCGGCTAAGGCTGAGGTTGAACCCATTGCCCAGCAAGAGCCGCAATCTTAATATTTTTTTGAAATTTTTTTTAATCTTTAAGGTTGTTAAATTTTTTAAAATTAATAAAAATATGAGCATATGTATGTATACATAGCAGATTTTCTTATACCCTTGTATTTTTAATCCAATCAAATGACCGTAGTCGGAAACGAAATCGGGAGATTCCTACATCTTGTTTGTTAAGTTTCTAATAAGGACCGGCCAAAGGACCGAATAAGTTTATCGATAAAAAACTCGAAAGCCCTAAAAAAACTCGATCGAAAGCTCGTTGCAGCTTCCAGTTAATCCACAAAAATTAATGTTCGGAAAACTAAACTTGACAAATTTTCCTTTATTTTAAATTCCCTTTTTTAAAAATCATTTTCCTCAGTTTCAACTAACATTGAGGTATATGCTGGTTCCTGTCCGCAGAAACATAATTTACACCATTGACATTTCGCCAGTCCCAAGTCTCCGGCAAATCCAGAGGATCAAAGTACCCCAATTCATAAAGTCGAGGTGTAATTCTGAAAGGGGAAATATTTTTAAAAATCGTAAAAGAGAACTTGTTTCTTCAAAATTCTCTTCAAAAAAATATTTTTTTATTTTCCTTAAAATTCTTTTAAAAATGTCTGCTTTAAAATACCAGTTTTTGGGGTATTTTCTCTCTCCAAAAAAATAAAATGTCAAAAAAATTGAGCCGATTTTTAAGGATATGCTTCTAGCTAGGAAAATAAAGAAAGACACTTGACAAGCCCCATTTATGGGGTTTTCAAGAGGAATCGGTAGGGAAATCGGGAAGGAAAGGTTAAAAAATGGGAGAAAGAATTTCTTGATTTATTTAAATATTTTATTCTCATTTTCCTTATATTGCAAAAAAAATTTATTTTAACGGTGAAAATGATATTGAAAACATTAACTATTTTAATATTAATTATTACATGTTTTAAACAATGTAGAGGAGAATTGAGAGAAATGGATGAGGTAGGGGAATAATAGAAGAATTGAATTAATCAAAAACAGATCTGTAATATGTAGAATTCCCAACAAGCTTTAGGCCGAATAGAATATTTAACTTCTCCCCTTAAATTATATGTAAATCAACGTTTAATAGGACCTGAGGATAATAAAGGACCTCAGAAAATGAGATACAAGAGAGAAGCTTTTGCTAAATCAAAAACCAGGATAAACGAGAGTGTTAAGAACTATGTATGAGCTTAACTAATTTATCTCCCAGTAAATAGGGCAAATCTGGAGGTAAGTAACAGGGATGGGCCATATTTTAAATGACGTGGGAGCCCTCCTCTCGACATTAAGTGGCCAGCCAGATTAAAAATTTTACTATCGAACGCAAATGCGAATGGTCAAAACAGGTGGGATTCTACAGAAGGTGGAAGACATCCATCTCTGACAGGTTAATTAGGTGTATGAAAGGTTGAGATAATATAAAGATTTCTGATTTTCTCATTTAAAACCCTTATTCTTTTAAAGCCTTCACGTTCAAAACGTCAATATATTACCAATGCCATTCCCCAATCAACATCTTCCTGCAATTGTCTTTCAAAATATACCCCAGTTAATTGTAAATGTACAGGAATGCCATCAATTAGCGATGAACTTTTATGTCGCTGCGATCGCGCAAGTTTGGCCAGGGAAGAGGAGAATAAACAACAATGCCCTTGTCGTAATAAAGGAGCGGCAAATGGCTGGGGAGAATCTGAGGGAGGATATTTCCCTGTCTATCGCGGAGAAGAAAGAAGTTCAGATTTGTATCCTAGAGCACTCAGCCCATCTGTTATTCATTCTGCTTGCCATCCGGTTAATTTTCTTGATTAATATTTTTGATAATATTTTGTAGAAGAAATATTTTTCCTAGGGGTTTTGTACCCTTATCATTAAGGAATCGTGAGTCTCTCAGATCCTGGACTCTCACATCCTGGGCTAAAAAAGATCAAGATCCTTTCACTTCTTGCTTCCTCCCTCCCTCATCCCTCCAGATAATTTACTTCCATATATTTAACTGGAATAGTTCTCTCGGTCTCTGAGGTTTGGGAAGTCTCTGTCTTCAACCTAGATAGGATCTTATGTGAGACTCAGATTATGACCTCAAAAAGGTCAAGATTTCTATTCCAAGAAACGAGATTTTTTGTTCTTAAGTTGAGAAATTTTAATGAAAATGTTTTAATAATCATATAAAATAATAATTCTAGATTTGCCACCAGTCATGTTTAAGTACATGTACTCGTCCTTATACTCGCGAAGTTGACCCTTATCGAGAAAGAGAGCGTTATAGCAGTGGATATGCTAACGATCAGGACCCTCAATCAGAAAATTCTTTATTAGCAGCTGATTACTCCCCTACTGGATGTCAAGTATCTCACTGCAGATCAAATTGCTTAAAGGCTTGTTCGAGGATTTTGGATGCTCATAGAGGCTTCTAAAATTCTTAAAATTCAAAGAATTTTCCCCTTTTAAGTACCCTATCAAGAAATAGAACCCCCAACACCTTCGCACTACGAGGTTCGTCCTGTTGACAGACCTATTTACGTAACTAGACTTCCTCCGCTACAGACAGACTATGGAGCTTCTGCTCTGTCTAGTTGTCAATGCTCACCTGATGCAATTTGCGAGTGCCCTGAGTAAAGATTTTTTGAATATTTTATTTTGGGATATTTTTCTTTCTTAGCCCTAAACTCTGTCTTATCACTGCCTTAGGAATATATTACGGGATTGGAAAAGCTGACGTCGGATATATTAGATGGAATATATGAAAATGTGGCCATAAGTTTGTCGTTTCTAATATATCTTTCAGATATTTGAACGAACCGAAACGAAAATCCTCAATTCACAGGGTTAATTTCGAACCGACAACCCTGGATGAGCAATAAATACACACAATATTTGTGACCAGATGGGATTAGAAAAAAATCCTTAAATAAGTGAGAATGTGTTATAAGATACGTGAACTAAGATAGAGATTTTGGGGATATGTAACGGATTATAGCAATAAAAACAAGTAGAAGATAATGATGTCATTTCTAATTTATTCTCTACCAGAAATTGTTTCCCCGTTTGTTTTGACTCTTGTGAGGCAAATTGTGACAAACAACAAATTAAAACTTCTCAAAATAATAACCAAAAACGATTGTGTGCCCAAACATGCCATTTTGATTGTCAAAGAAATTGTGCTGAAAAACAACAACAAAAACAAGCTAGAAGAAGATTGGGAGGAACGGAAATATTTTCATCTGGAACAAGTTCTCCACCTCCAACATTGACTTCTATAGCCGTTACAGAGAATAACAATGATTTGAACAATAATTTACAACAACGTTAGTAAAAATATATACCGTGGGATCTCACTATAAGGATACAACTTGGGGCTGGAAAAATTGTATCTTATAATGGGATATGTGTAAAATTGTGGGTATCACTTAGGCAGCCTTCCCCCTCGAATCATTACTATTTTGCTCGATTATAAGAGCTTTCTCGTTAATGCAGAAACCTCTCAAAAATAACAAGGCCTCTATGTAGTGTTCCGCTGGAACCGCAAATTTAGCCGGAACCGGAACTGAACCAAAAAATCCCGGAACTTCCGGCCTACCGGAACCGTAACTTCCGGTGGAACACTACCTCTTTGTGCTTCAATCAGTTAGCTCCGTTGACATTTTTTGGGCCGTGAACCATCCCTAGTCTAACAAAAAATAAAATTAAAATCTCCCTATTAAAGAAACAGTAATCAACGGACCAGCAACAAATTGTGTAGCTCGTTGTCCAAAGTCTTGTGTTGTCAGTTGTCTAAGCACTCAAACAAACGAGGATCCAACAATTTGTGTTCCAGCATGTGTTGCTGTTTGTGCTCAAGTTTATATTTGTTTGAGAAACTTGTAAAAACCCTCAATTAAAGTCTTGTTCTCGAGGTCTTCAACATTTCGATTCTCTTCCACAACAAAACAAGGGGGAATTAATTAAATCAGAATCACAAATTCAACAACAATTACAACAAATTTTATTACAAGGGCATCGGAATGAAGGTCTAGAGAATGGAACTTCGTATTCTAATGTTACTGTCCAATCAGAAAATGAAAAGAAACAAATGTTGGTGACACAGCCATCGATGTTTCTGAATGATGTTGATAGAGAAGTTAGTCCACAAATAGGGATATGTGAGGGATTAGTTAAAGATGAGTGAAAGCCTCGGGATATCTGGGAAGGGGTAAGCTAAGGTAACGATAAGAAATGAGATTCCCGGGATATATAGGAGGGTGGGATATGGTAAGACGAAAGGACCTCGGGATAGTGAGGGTGGGATATATCCAAAACGAGAAATAAGCGCCTTGGGATATATGGCAAGGACGAGAAGTGTGAGCCACTGATCTAACGCCATCTTAACAGTGGAAGTCAGAGTCCGTTTGTTAGTCGATAGATTGGGCTGAGTTGAATATGCGAAAATGTGGGATATCCACCTGAGAAGGTGGGAATAAGAGCCTCGCGTGGGATAGGCTAAAAGATGAGAAATAAGAACTTCGGGATATGTTGTAGATTTGGATATGTAAGAGATCTATTCTTCCACTAAAAATATTTTTATTCAAGTTAAATGACGGCCTTATCCGTTCCCGTCCATGTGCCCCACTCTGTCGCCCTCAATGCCAACGCGAATGCACTTCAAAATATGTTGAAGAACGTCAATCGCCTTTCTCAACATTTTCGGGAAGGAAAAGAGAATTTAATAGACAAAAAGGATTTTGGGATAATTTGAATAGGAAGAAAATTTTGAATGAAAGAAATAATCGAGTATTTCCCCCACATTATATTTTGCCCTTAAATGAAGGTTTAAATGAAGAGAAAAATAAAGAAATTAATAAAGAAGAAAATAAAATTATTAATTATGATAATGAGAATAAATCAACAGAATTAGTAAGCCTTCAAAACGAACAAAATCGGACTGAAACTATTGGGTAAGTTTTTCTTCTTCTTTAGCTTCTAAAAGACTTCCTCCAATTTTTCTATGTATCTCCTCTCTCAATATTTTTTGGGCAAAAAAGGGAAGAAAATAAATGCGAACTTTCGAAAAATGAAAAGGCAAAACAAAAACATAATTTCAGTTAATTTATGAAAACCTCTATTTAGTGGACACTACTCAGTGGGCACTTATTTTCTATTTAGTGGACACCTACTCTCTATTTATTGGACACTTACTCTTAATTTAGTGGACACTTACTCTCTATATAATGGTCCCCTTACTCTCTATATAGTTGACACTTTCTATATTATGGACTCATTGCTCTCCCTATAATAGACTCTGCTAACAATTTAGTTTTGAGGTCATTCTTTGGAATACTATCATTCTCGACACCTCATTATGACGGATCACCTTTTTCTATAGTCTCATAACGAGAGTTCACATTTTTTGAATTTTTTTATTTCCAGAAACAAGCAACATTTAAATTCAAAAAAATTAAATATTGGAAAAAAAGAAATAGAAGAAAGACAAAATAATTTAATAATTAAAACTTTGAGTAATTCGAAGCCTTGGAAAGTTAAAAATAAAGAAAATAAGGAAGAATTAAATAAAAATAATGAATTTAATAAAGATTTAAAGAAGGAATTGAAAAGAAATGAACAAAACAAGCCAAAATGGTTTTTCTCTTTTAAAAGATAAAATAGCTAATAATTTTATGTAAATTTTGTATTTTTAATTTTTTTTGTAATTTTAATCAAAAAACTTTTTTTAACTTGTGGATAATTATAGAAAGTAGTTCAGGTGAACTTTTTTTAAGTTCCGATGTTATGTCAAACAGGTTGAGTTGGGAAACCCGGGTCAGGAAGAAGTGTGGATATCCGGAATTTTCGATTCGGATATCCAAGGATTTCCCAAAGTCCGCCACCCCTTCTCATCATAAGAACACTATAGCCTGATAATTTCGAGGCTTGGTAATTCCTATCTACTACATTATTTAGTAGGCAAAAATACGTCCTCAAGGATATTTAATTTGGCTGAAGACACGGCCTGAATTCCATACAACTTCCAGACATATCCTGTTTCCCCCGCCTAATTGCTTCATCAACCTTTTAATTCCTTTACAAACAAAACCAAGTTTTCAGCTATTTTAAGGGGAGAGGACTTTGATGAGAATTTTAAAAATTAATTTACTCTTAATTATTCCTAAAAATTTTAAATTTATTCCTCACTTAATTTCTTTCCGCATTTCTTCCGGTGCAGGTCTATAACAACCTCTAAGATGCGGTCCAACTGCATACGAACTCTTTTCTGGCCAATTATTATTATTTTCACCTCGAGAAAGGTGCTCGTGGACATAATGAGAATTAATTAAAACAACAAAAAGTAAAATAAAAAATAATTTAAACAGCATTAATGTCTTCATTTTTAGAGGGCTAAAATTTAAAAATAAAGATTAAAAACTGGAAATGAAAATATTTTTGAAAAATGAAGGTTATTTATATGTAGAAGGCGTTGAAGGTTATTAGTCTGAGAAAATGACTATTAATTAATCTTTTAATGCTCATAAATTTAAAAATAAATTAATTTCTTGAAGGAATTTTTCGTTTAAAAAGAAAGGTTGACGGGGAAATTTAAATTTTGTTTTTTAAACAAGAATTCCTGACTAGAGATCTCCCCGAAACATTATCTCGAAAAAAATCTCGGTTATCGAGAAATTAGATTTTTCGAGATCTCGATTTTAGTACGACCCTCATAGTCAGGTCTCTACTCCTGTCATTTTCCTGAGATTTTTGTCAGAAAGATGTCGCAACTCCTGACACCTCTGTTTTCAAAATGTCAGGAGTTGCGAAAAGGATTGTCAGTTTTACCACATTTTGTGGTTAACCGAAACCGAATAGTAAGCACTAGGACGGACGGGGAGTGTTGTACAAGAATCGAGATCTCGAAGAAAACGCTCTGTTATAGTGAAGAGAAGAAGAAGATTTTCGCCATAGAAAATATGTAGGTAATTGTTTAAGAAACCTAAGCTCGTATCATTTTTATTGAGAAATAAAATAAATTAGGTAAATAGTATAAATATTTTTATCATTTTTGAAAACTTTTTTTAACTTTTATTTTTGCTAATACATATTTATTCTCAATAAAAAGAGTGAATGAATATTTGCCATTTAAACAAACATTTTTCATTCCCCCTTAATTTTATTATTTTTATGGTTTAATAGATTACTTCTAATGATAAGGAAAAGTAATTTTAGAGACATCATGTGTTTGGGCACTTTTATAAAATTTTACGTTTAGCTGATAACAGCAAAAATAAAAAAATGTATTAAATTATCAGCAAATTGCTGAAAAATAATAAAATCGACTTTTACCCCGAAGATCAAACCTAAAAAATAATTCTACCAAATTAAAAAATGGGAGATCGTGTAGAGTTAATTAATTTAGGAGGGACACGTCCAAGTAGATGTACGGCAAAGTGGGCGCAAAGCCATAACTAGCTTTCTGGACATTGCCAATTCTGGTATCGATCTCTTTAGCTCGATGAGAGGAATCGCTTAATACTTAAATTTTGAAAGACTTGGAAATCTTTAAGTAAGTTATGACTTTGCGCCTACTTGAACGTGGCCTCCCAATTTTGGATACTCCTCTTAATTAAATCTGAGATGTTCCTAAACCAAAAGGCTGTCAGCTTGAAACCGTAACTGGAAATCGAGGACGTTCGGTTCGGTTATGCGATGAATTTAAATAAACCGGCATTCCTATCTTAAACAGCCCCAACAACCAAATTTAAAAAATGTTTCTTAAATAGAAGTTTATTTTCAATTTAACTAAGCTACCAATTTTATTTCCTCTAAAAATCTAAATAAATACAATCAAATTATTGCACAACTAATAAGCTAAAATGAGGTACATACTAATTTTTAAGTTAATTTTTGGCTGTAATTTATGAATTTTTTTTATTTTTCCTTCTTCCTCCCTTTCTAAGCACTCAAAGCAACTGCTTGACACCAAATATTTTTCTTCACAACATTGCAATATCCATCCCCGCTGCTGCTAAAATGCACCTTATTTGCTGTAGCATCCCCAGCTTTAGCTTCATCTGCTGTTGCACAGACTACGAGGAATTTTTGCTCAGTTTCGTAACGCCGGAAGAGGGCGGTTTGGATTGAATTGACGGAGGCGATAGCGTCGTTCTCGTTTATTCCCTGAAAAGTTTTTTTGAAATTTTCTGAAAATTTAGAAATTTCTCTCACATCCTCAAGCAATTGTTTCCATGCAACTTGTGGGCAAGGGGTATCGTCAGCTTTGTAATGGGGCTGGACGGCTGTCTATAATAATAAAAAATCATATGAGCGATCGAAGGAATCTAAGAAAATGTCGCCTATAAAGAGAGGTATCATCTAAAAATGTTTTTGAGTTATCCCATGACAAAAGTGTCTGCTACCTCCTCTAAGCTCCGAAGGCTCCTAAAGCTCCTATGTATATCGAGCTCATATCTATCGAAAAGAACTCTCATTAATACACACCTTTTAATTGAAAGATACTCTCTATTAAGCGGACAGTAAATAAATGGCAGCCTGATCAGCTCTATTCAAGGATAAGGTCAGCTCTATTCAAGGATTTGAACTGTGGGTGTCTGGATGACATTTACTCTCTAGTAAAATAAAACTTAAGAGAGAAAAGGGGTATCCATGAGAAAGAGGAAACTTCTAGTTGAGTTACTTTAAGATGAAAATGGGTTGATCCTCATGTAGGGCTGTCAATTCAGGTAACTTTTTGCTTATAAGGAACCGAACCGAAGAACCGAACTTTTCTTCTGTTCCGGTCCGAAGAGGTTTCGAATCGATTCTGTCGTATTTTTCCTATTGTTATCACATACTCAATATTTTATAAAAATTCCATCTGAACTTAAATAAAAAATCAAAATTCATCAAACCTCACGCTTTCTACGTCCACAACATCCACCACCACCTCCTCCCCCACATCCACCTCCGCCTCCTCCACATGATGAACATCCACCACCTCCACCACCACAACCGCCACCACCTCCTCCGCCTCCTGGAAATCCGATGCCTTCAATAAGGCTAGCCAGGCAAATTAACATTCCAAGAGAAACCAAACAAAAGACAACTCTTGATGTCATTTTATTTATTTTATTTTCTGAGTAAAAAAAATTATTTTCTTAATATTCCAATATTTATTAATTAATTTCCAAAGATTTGGAGAGTTCTCTTCACCCCCAACTTATTAAATTTTAAATTTCAAAATTTGACTAGACACTTAATTTGCGTATACCCCAATTTACCGCCGAGCTTAGCTTCGTTAATAATTGTCGAATCAGTTACACCATGGTATCGTTCGATTCAGCTCGTCGAGGTGCTTCGACCCATACCATGGCGGGCCGAATTCGACAATTATGAACGAAGTTATAGCTCAGCGGTAAATTGGGCTGGCAGTAAATTGGCCTGCTCCCCATTATTTAAATCTCTCTCTCTTTAAATCTCTCTCTTTAGTGATTTTATAAAAAAAATACAGGAATACACAGGTCTGTGTAATTACATGATTTTGAAATTTAAAAAGAATATTAGTGTATATAAGCTTAAAAACGGCTTAAAAAATTGGGTTAAATTATCTAGTTCCTAACACAATTTTAAACAAAAAAATTAAATACGTAGCTAATTTTAATTTAATTAGAAGAAAAAGCAGAATATTGATAAAAATAGGATTAAAAAAAATAAAAATTCTTCAATTAGTTTTTATTAAAATGAGCAATAAAAACCTTCCCTACATCATTTTATATTGTGCATTTAAGGATCTATCAAAAACAAAACTTCTTCAAAAGAACGAGAATATGTTTCTTTCAAATAATTAACCAGCTCCTCCTCTTTCTAAATAATGCGTGAAAATGTTTATGAGACATTTCGGCGCGAACCTATTTTGGCGCAAAAGTCTATAACATTGTTTTATGAAAGCCTAAAGACGTAAAATTTTGTACATACAAGCTCGAAAGTGTTGACTATTTATTCTGAAAATTTCAGAATTTTATCTTAATTATTTCAAAAGTTACAGGCGGAAATGTCGAAGCAATCGACTAAATAATGCGTGTTAATGTTTAACATAAAAATTATTTTTTCTTAGCGCCCAAAGTCCTCTTCCACTCTATTTAATCTTTCAATGATGAGCATACATATTTCCGATCAGTGATTAGAAAAAATAAAAGAACAAAAAAATTATTTTAGCTACCTCAAGCTATTATTTTTTCGTTCACATATCGTTTAAAGTGCCTGTAGGGATTCGGCGATTTGGCGGTTTAAGAAGGGATTAAGAGAAGAAGAAAAGACTGTCAAGTATTTAAATGATGAATTAAAAGGAAGAAGAAGAAGACTCTCATATGACTGACTTGTATTGTCAATACATTCCAGAGAATGCCCTTTTTATTTACCATCAATCAAAAAATTTGTTGTTGACTAGTTTATTTTGTAAAAAATTAGAGGAAAAAAATTAAGAGAAAAATAACGAGATTTCTTTGGCGGTAGAAGTTTTTTAGACTTTTTTTTTAAAAAAAGTCTTTATTATTTATGCATTATTTAAAGACTTTATTCTTCTTTAATTTTTCTAGTTTGACTGAACATAATTTATAGTTTTGTTCTCTGAGACAATTCGGCGCGGAAATGTTTTGGCGCAAAGGGCTATAAAATTGCAGTAAGAAGGCCTAAAAATGTGAAATTTCGTTTTTACACGCTTGAGAGTGTTGACTAGTTATCCTGAAAATTTCAGAATTTTATTTGAATTATTTCAAAAGTTATGGGAGAAAATGTGGAAGCAATCGGCTCCTTAAGAATATTCAACTCAAATAGGAAGAAACATTCTGAAATAATTTATCGAAAATTCTGAACTTTTTCTGGTGGGTAGATAACACTAAATAATACTAAATAACACTATTTCACAGTCGGACCTTACTATATTTTCACTTTAAAATTAATTTTGTTTCATTCTACCTCTTATCCCTACGTTTTTAAATGCATACACATTTAGTAGGTAAAATGCCATCAAAACTTCTTCAATATATTCTTCTATTTACTTTCATTATTTCCTTAATCAGTCTCGTTGAGGGATGCGGTTTTCCAAGTGGTGGGGGTGGAGGAGGTGGATGTAGCTGTGGCGGTGGAGGAGGTGGTTGCGGGGGCGGTGGGGGTGGTTGTGGCGGAGGGGGTGGATGTTGTGGACGTAAGAAGCGTGAGGTTAAGTTTAAAACCGTCAGAAACTGTCCAAATGAACAAACTAAAAATATTTTTAGGCAGCTGTCCAGCCTCATTACAAGACAGATGACACACCATGCCCACAAGCTGCATGGAAACAAGTTATAGAAGAGGTAGAAATTTAGGGTTTATCCGGTCATTTTACTGGAAGTAAGGGAAGTCTTTATACTATTGTTACGGAAAGGGAACGCTTTTTACTAAATATATCCGTTTTGAGTTATATTTGATTTTAAAAAATAGTCTTATTGTTAGGAAGCAACCTTCGTTCGAATACAATTTTAAAGAGAAACAAATAAGCTCTAACTTAACTAGTGATAAATTAAAATTTCTCAACTTTGTGAAGTCTACCCTCAGTATAAGACACCCCCAATAGTATATACATCTCAAGTTAAGATAAGTTTTTTAAATTTTGATAAGCCTGTTTAGAATATACCTCACTATAAGAAACATTATTTCGGCCCAAGTGTACCTTATAATGTTGCTGATCAGGACTGCCCGCAATTACGGGTTGTGTAAATTGCGTGATTTTTTGGACTTGCGGATTCGGCAGCAAAATTTTTTTCCAATTGCAGTCAGCCCTGGTTCCGATTGCATAAATTTCCTAATATTTATTAAAAATATTTATAGAGCATCACAGACAATGATGCAATAGCTTCAGTCAATTCAATCCAAACAGGCCTCTTCCGCCGTTATGATGACCAAAGATTCCTCGTAGTCTGTGCAACAGCAAATGAGGCCAAAACTGGGGATGCTACAGCAAATAAAGTACATTTTAGCAGCAGCGGGGATGGATATTGCAATGTTGTTAAAAATAATGTTTGGTGCCAAGCAGTTGCTTTGAGTGCTTAAAAACTTTTTTTAAAAGAAAATAAAATATATTTATTTTTATGTGCAATAATATTGTAATTATAGTTATAATGTAGTTAAAATTTAGTTTTTAATTAAAATAAAATTAATTTTAGAAATGTTTGTGTAAGGATTAGGGGTGAGCGTCATGACATATCTACCTGAATCCGTTTATATCTTTACAAATTGCGGAGCGAACATGGAGAAAACGCCCTATTACCATCGAAAATTCTGATTCACTCGATATCACAACCAAATCAATCAACATTCTATTTAAGTTTTAGATACAGATCTCTTCCTTTTCAGGAAATTTTGAGAATATTGGAAGGGCCGATTTGGGTGGCGGGGGGGGGCGGGGGGGGGGAAGGGGTGAGCCAAGAGGTCCGATTTACTCCTTTTTAGGAAACGAACCGAAGAGTTTGGTCATCCAGAACCGATCTGAAATTTCAGGAACCTGAAAAGCATGAGCAAATTTCTCAGGAAAAACAGTGTTTGAGAATGACGAATATTAAAAAAATTTTAAAGTAAGAGTTAATTTTATAAAAAATTATTTTTTTTTAAATTTTTCCTTCAAATAATTTCTATTGGCCAAAAAGCATAGAAAATATACAAAAATATAAAAAATTATAAAAATATACAGAAAAATAAAAAAATATATAAAAATATATAAAAATATATTTTAAATTTTATCATAAGGGCTCTCTCTCTCTCATTAATTAAAGGCCCTCACATGAGGAGGGAAAAATTTTTTTTACCTCGACAGGCACTTAGACAATAGAAAAATTAAAATTTAAGGGGAAGACAATGGAAAAAATTTTTTTTTAATTTTATTTAAATTTTTCTATTGTCTTTAAAATCTATTGTCTCCTTGCTATCTCCATTATTCAATAAAAATCCCTCTATAACCCGCCCAGATTTTATAATTTAAAAATTTAATTTAAAAGTGGGATTGAAAAAAGAAGATTTAAACATTCAAATTAAAAAAAACTTCTAAACAAAACTCCCTATACTCTAAAAAATGTCAAAAACATTTATTGTTCTTGTGATATTCACAATTGTTTTTGTTGAGTGTTGTGTTGGAGTTCGCGAAAAACAAGCACACCCTAAATCAACATATAGCAATGGACTTCCTGGTGGTTTGTAAAATAAAATTTAAAAGTTCTATTTTAATTAAATACCTCTTTCCTATTATTCCTTATCTATTTGATCTAATTGCCTTTTTACGCAATTTTTCAAAACAAAAACGCAACACTTTAAAAGTTAAAGACAAAAAGGCAAAAAGTAATAAAAAACAAAGTAAAGCAGCTGGGCTCTCTCCTTTAGCTAGTGCAAAAGGTTAATCGGCGGCTGGGAGCGAACCAGCATCTTCAGTAGACCGGACTGATGTGTTAGCCATTCCACCACGCCGCCTACTGCAAAGCCTTCTAGTGTTGCACCCCGACCCCGTTCCCCGACCCGAAACAATTCGAATAACCCTTCATAGGGCTGGGTTGTGTCTTCGGTTCCGTGATGTTCTATTCCATCTCCAATCCAATGAATTATTCCACAGCGTGAATATACCGTATTTTCTCGATTAATTCCCCTCCCTCGAATAATTCCCCATCCCACGGATGGGTTGAAATATTAATTCCCCGGGGGAATTAGTCGAGAAAATATGGTAGCAATTTTTTAAAAAATATGGAATATTTTGAAATTCAAATTATTAAAAGTTTGGGAAAATTTAGAATCTAAACTTTGAAATAATAAAGTTTATTAGGTATTCCTTTTACTTCATTAAAAACATTCTGAAAAATTGGAGTTTTACATAATGTTAAATTTTTAATTTAAATTTGCGATTAAGGAACTATCGGACAAGCCGGAAATCCACCCAACCATGTAGGAAAGGATGCAACAACTTTAGAAGAAAAGAAGAAAGATCCTACAGTTGTGGTATTTTCATTTGAAGTTTATTTCAAATTAAAAAATAATTATTTTTTAAGCACACTGGGAAAAGCAAGTTCGCAGAGAAACGAGGGTAATTTTTGTGTTTCTGATGGAAAGTAAAACAACAAGATAAAGCATTTTGATTGGGGATTTATTTAAAAGAAACAAAAAGAAATGTACACATATTTATTTAAATTATTTTAAAATTGAGTCGTTGCCTTGATATGCATATTTTTTTAACATTTGGGTAAACTTTAAAAATGGTTTTATTCGATTTTGATTTTATTCGAATTATGGGTACAACCAAAGGTACCACTAAGACAAGGTACCGCCGAGCTGTAACCTTATTCAAGCTGTAACTTCATTTTTTATCCTTTTAATTAATTAAATAATCTTGATCATGACTTCTTTCGTGAAAATATAAAATTGAAGTAAATAAAGTTAAATACATAAACATAGTGGGAAAATTTTCCAATTATAAGCACGCTACAAAAAAATTTCAAAAACCTTTTTTTGGCGGCATAGTCGAAAATTTTGAGAATACACAGGAATTCACCCTCAGAAGACCTACAGACCCTACGATATCTTCTTGATCCCTCAATGCTACGCACAAGTCCTTCGATATTAAATTTAATCCTTCAGAATCCCCAGTATCCATCTTAATCCTTTTTAATCTTATTAAATTTAAATTTTTTTGCCATTTTTTGGGCCGTAGGCGTCTAGAGTCGAGAATCCCCTCAATCCCTCCAAAAAAATTTAACTTTGGCTACAAAGTTAAATTTTAAATTTTAATCTTTAATTTATTTTTATTAAATTTTTTTCTCCTTCTTACTACTCAATTAAGCAAAAAAATTTATTTTCTCTACAAGAATATAGACAATAGAAAAAAATTTTTTTTTCTAAGAAAAGTCGATAAAAAATTTTTTTAATTAAAAATTTTTATTTAAAAAATTTAGCTATCCCACTTACTTTTGCGAAATTCATTGATTAATAAAAATTCCCCTATAACCCGCCCATATTTTATAATTTAAATTTAAAAGTGGGATTGAAAAAGAAGATTTTAAACATTCAAATTTAAAAACTTAATCCTTAGACCCTAAACAAAAACTCCCTATACTCTAAAAAATGTCAAAAACATTTATTGTCCTTGTGATATTCACAATTGTTTTTGTTGAATGTTGTGTTGGTCGTAAAAGAAAACAAGCACACCCTAAATCAACATTACACAATAAAGCTGCTGGTTTGTAAAATAAATTTTAAAAATTTTATTTTAATTAAAAAAGATAAAATTAATAACAAGTATCTATCAGGGTTTTAGTCGACCCAATTTCCAATTTCCGAAAAGCGGCAATTAAATTTTTATGTCGGCTACTTCGAATCCGGACAGGATTCGAAGTAGCTCTGGAAGATAATACTCTAGAAGATTAAAATTTTAAATTTTAATTAAGAAAGTTCTAAAAATGGGTCCAGACGTTCAACAAAACATAAAACAAAATCAGAAGAGAAGGAAGATCCTTCATATGTGGTATTTTCACTTAATTTTAATTACAGATCGAGCCTGGTCTAACCAAGGCCTGTGTTTTCCTTTACCCAGAGTCCAGGCCCAGGCATTTTTTAACCTTCCTGGGGTTTTTCCTGGACTACAGGCTCAGGATCCGGCTCAGGTCAATAAATCAAACCCGAAGCCCAGGAACAGGCCCAGATTTTTCAAAAAGTTCGTTCTCTAATAAAAACCCTTACCCTCGTTTGTTTCAGGCTTAGTGAAAATTTTTTTGGGCTCATTTTCTAGCCATATTTATCTTCTTTAAAATGAGCCAAAACTTCGACATATATTTTTTGAGATTTTTTAATAATAATTATTATTCCAAGCACACTGGGAAAAGGTTGTCTACATGGACAGATCCAAAAGTTAATTTATACGAGGATGATTCTTGTGTTTCTGATGGAAAGTAAAAAATAGGAGATAAAGAATTTTGATTGGGGGGATTTATTCGAGAGAAAAAAAGAAATTCCATGAAGTTTTTTTATTAAATTATTTTAAAATTGAGCTGTAGCCTTTCTATGCATTTATTTTTTTAACATTTGGGTAAACTTTAAAAAATTTTACAATTTTGTTGTTTTTATTTGAATTATGAGACAGTATTTATTTTTCGTTATGGCGCGGACGTAAGAGGAGAAAAAAGTGGCAAAAAATTTTTATAATTAAAAATAAACTAATGTCGCCCCCCCCCCATCAGTTTTCTTCTTGATGTACAAATGGTCAGTTATTTTTTTTTCTCAGTAAAACGTGGAAAAAAGGGAGTAACCTATAATATCAGTTATTATTATAGGATTAAATAAACAACAAAAACCAAAAATTTATAATTAAAAAATTATCGAAGAAAAATTTCAAAAAAATTTTCAAAAAATCCTGACAAGATTTAAAAAAGAATTCCCATCAATTCCCTTCATTACTTTCCAATCCCAAAGCTTTTGTAATTTTTTTCTCTATATCTTCTGTATTTATTGTTGAAAGTTTTTTGGCTGCAGCATTCAATATTTTCTAAATTTAATTATTTTTTAACCCTAAAAATAGCCTTAATTAACCAACCTTTCCAAGATTTTCTAAATCATCTTCTTTATTTTCTTCATTTTCGGGTATTTTTATTCCACCCTTAGGAGGTGGTCCTTGACCAGAAATTAATTTGGAAGTTAAAATAAGTAAAAGAAAAATTAAGGGAGAGTACATAATTTAAATAAACAAAGGACTCTCTCTAGTAGAGACTTAAAAAAAAGTCGCTTATATCGAGACGTTTCTTATATGGAGGTATTTGTCTGAAGGAAAGAGGATGTCGCTTATATAAAGTTGTCGTCTATATGGAAATATTTCTCTGGTTTATTCCAACAAACTACTAAAATCAAAAAAATTTTGAGAAAAAACATTGTTGGTTTTCATAATCTAAACAAAAATTTAAAGAAGAAAAAATTTGACTAAAATCGATTATAATTTTATCAAATTGTTGTTATTTGTTTAATTAATTAAAAGAAAACTAAATTTTAAAATTTTTATTGAAAAACAAGTTTTGTTTTTTTTAATTTTAAAATATAAAGAAAAGAAACTTTGTGAATATTTTTTTAATTTTTTCTCCCCTCATTCTCCCTTCTATCTTTAAGATTCTACATATAGATATGTAAAATAGAGTGTAGGTACTGGGCAGAGGTCGGTCGGAATTCTGAGTTCCAATTTCCGAAAAAATTTTTATTTCCGATTTCCGACTTTTGAGCCAGTTCCGATTTCCGGTTCTTCCAATTTCCGACACTTCTGACTGTTCCGACTCACCTCTGATACTGATAGTCAGTACAATCAAGGTTCAACTATAATAAAAAGACAAGGAGGTGGACAGGAAACAGAAGCCTGGTTCTATAACTTTAGCTGTAATCTATGACAGTGAACAAGTGCTGAAAGATTTGTTATTGTTAAATCAAAGTCAGAAAAACATTTATTTTATACAAAAAATTACACAAAAATTTTAGGAATGTTTTTGAGAAACAAAAAAATATTATTATGATTTTTAAACATTACATTTCTCTTCTCACAACTATTTTTTAAATTAATTTCCAGCAATTACAACCATCGAAGATAAAGGAGGCTTTTTAAGAACACACTTATTTACACATTTTGCAAAACATTTGTGGCAATTAGAATCTGCATCGTAACAATTACCCATACAATTTGCTAGTCTTTCTCTTTCCTTGTCGGAACATGAAATTGAAAAAAAAAATTTTTAATTTTGAAAAATTTTTAAACCTCCCCCCCCCCCTCAAAAAAAACCTCCCCCCTCCCCCCTCAAAGAATGGGAATGGTTGCAGCCCAATGTACTGCCGCCAAAACTTTTTCTTATCTTGACCGACTTCAAATTAAAAACATATTTTGTTGGAGCAATTCCCCCGTTGTTAGAAGAACAAAAAATAACCCCCTTAACATTTAGTGTTATTGGAACAAATATTTTTGTTGTGATTGTTGCTGAACAACTATTTCTCATGTATTTATTTGTCGAATTGATGCCGATACAGTGGGCATTCGGTGCGGTATTTTTGGGGTGTATACCGTCACCAATCGACCCAATATTGAGATATCCTGTAAGAGATATCCCAAGATATTCCGAGGTTCGTGATTGGATATCTAAGATCTTTAGGTATCTGGGATACTTCAGAGTTTGTAGATCAACCTCATCTCTACGTTATCCCATTAGATTGAAGATTGGGGATAAAGATTGGGGATTAGACCTTCTATCTTGTATAACTCAGAGTTTTTTAGTACAAAAATTGAAAGCCTACTATTTAAAAAAGCTGTGCTCAGCCTTCGTTGATAACTATCCCGACTTCTCCCCCAATGTTCGTAGCTACTCCCTTCAATAAATAAATGGGCACCAGGTGCAAATGCACAGTCAAAATTTAAATAAAAATAAAAAAATAAAAATTTGAAGAAATTTTTATTTTTTAAAATCATTTTGGGGAGGGAAAATGAGAGAGAATTTTAATTTTATTTTTAAGGGAGAATTTAAGGGAATTTGAGGGGAAATAAAAAATAAATGATGTTAAATTTAAATAAAAGTAATAGTTAAATGATTGATGACATAAAAAGTGATGTGTATTTAATTTTAGACATTTTATTAGCTAATAAAAGAGAGAAACTAAAGCTAATAAAAAATACAAAGGTCAATTTTTTAGATAAAAATAAAGTAAATTAAAAGAAATTTTTTTTGGTTTTTTTAATTATTTAGACAGTTGATAAGTTAAATGATGAAAGATTATGTAGAAAAAAGGGGTGTTAGGAGGGGGCTTATAGTCTATCGACTATAACTTCAGAAATATTTGATGAAAAATTCTCAAATTTTTGGAGGATGTAGTCAAAGATGTTAAAGAAATTTGATAAAATTTTTAAGAATTTAGGTCTCGCCTAAGTGCCAGTTTTTAGTTCTCGCGCCAAAACGGCCCGGCGCCAAAACGACCCCAACCCGAGGCTAAAGGAGTAGGAAATTTTCTAAAATAACAAAAAAGTAAATATTTTGGAGAATTAAACATTCGAAAAACTAATTTGACAGTTCTGGGAATATTTTGTGAAAAGAAAGCATACGAGTATTTTGAACTTGGTGTTCGGAAATTAGTAGATTAAATACTGGACTGAGAGGGTCTTACGAAAATTGAGAGCAATACCTCAAAATATCAAAAAAATTTTTAGAGAGTCTCTCGAACTCGAAACTTTAAGCAGAGATTAGAGTTTCACCGGAAGTTCCGGTTCCGGTAAGTTCCGGCGTTTGGTTCCGGTCTCGTTCACAGGTACGAGTACAAATCCTTGGTACGAGATTCCAAAAACTGGTCCTTGAGATTTTAGAAGCTTTTCTCTAAAGAATAATTTTTCTTAAGAATAAAGTCGACTTTTTCAAAAATCGACTTTCATTTAACTATTTCCCATATAAAATATTAAATGAAGGAAATGATGAAAGATAAAAGAAAAAAGGGCAAATTTTTTAAGAATAAATTTACGACAATTTTTGTGATAAAGGAAATAGACAAGATAGGAAATGAAGGGGATATTAATTTAATTAATCAATTAAAGTTGTCGGATCCGGATATCCGGATCCGAAAAAAGACAGGATATCCGGAAATTTTCGCTTCGGATGCCAGATCCGGATATCCGAAGATTTCAAACTATCCGACAACCTTACAGTCAATTAGTAAATAGTTTTAATTCATTGACCGATCAGTCTGTTTTTTAAAGAAATTTTCGAAGTTAATTTATCTTAAAATTTTCCTCCTTTTCAAGGAGGAATAGTGCTACACCGGACCGCAAATTTGACTGGAACCGGATCTAATTTTTTTGGTCCCGAGCCGGAACTGAAACCAAAAAATCCCGGAACTTCCGGCTTACCAGAACCGGAACTTCCGGCGAAGCTCTAAGGAACACTTTAGAAAAAAACTTTTTCTTAATTTTGGAACCAAAAATAAAGCGACTCCCTCAATTAGAAAGACCCTCTCTAATTAAAAGTTTTATAAGCTTCCCTGAGTCTTTAGACATGCTTGCCCTTTAATTTAAAAGATTTAATTTTAATTTTCAATTAATAAAGTCTAGACAGTCATAAGATGTATATAATTAAATAAAAGATAGGGACCTCATGCCCTTATAAAAATTGATTTTGGATGCCCTTTACTCTCCTCTCTGAATTTTTTTTTAATTTTTAAAGCCCTCTAGACATTTTATTTTTTTAAATTTTTATTATAGCTTCTATTTATTATAGCCTTTATTATGCCTTTATATTTAAAATTTTTTTCAGATAAATGTTTCTACACCAATTTTTACCCAAACTTCAAACTCTTCTCTTAATCACTACATTCTCCCCTTGTGTCTCTTCCCATCCCGAAACTCTTAGTTACTCGCTGGAAACCTCAAACAACCATAATGAAGAGTTTAAACCCCTCTCTTGCGAACATCTTTGCCCTCTTACCGAAGCTTTCCTTAAAAGACCCTGTGCCATAGACACAAAACTTTGGGTGACAGTTTGTCCCAAAACCGCGGAATTGGAAGGAATTGAAAACCCTTTGGATTTTGACAAGCTAGAGGATGAGGAAATTAATGAAAGGGTGGATGTTTTAAAGGAGGGAACAGAACATTTGATCAATGAAAATGAAAAAATAATTGATGAAAGTATAAAAATAAATACCAAAAATAAATTTATTCGATGGCTAACAGGAGGAGAGACCCCAAAATTTGATGAAAATGGAATTTATCGAAAGAAAAATTCAAACAAAAATTCTAAGAGGTCTTGGAGTCTGTTAAGGTCTAAAATTGATGAAAATAAAGGAGAATGGGATGGGCCTATATTTAATTATAAAAATAAAAAGGTATTGCAATGCAAGGGTTGGCAAAAGTTGAAAAACCAATTCGGCTCTTATTGGAGAGTGGCCAAGGAAGTTTGGGATGAATATAAAAAGAAGCCGTTGTATCCACAGGCTGAGGCTTTTTATTACAAGTTGGTGTTTTTACTTAAAAAAGGCAAAATCTCGATATAAGAGGCTCGTCAAAGAGAGTCTTGAACATCGAGAATATCGGTCTCGATAATCAAAGGATTTTTTAATTTCAAAAAATTTTTTAAACGAGATCTCGTTTAGATTTTTAATAATTCCGCTTTATCAGTGATGTACCTTTACGGATTTTGCAAAATGTCACATCCCTATATTCAAATAAAACTTCAAAAAGACTCGTTAAACAGTAGAACTTCTCTAACATATCCTCGGGACTGAATTTAGCTGACCTATAAAGCAGGACTGTATTTTTTTCGCTTCCGTCTTCCTTCGAATTCCGTTCTTTAGGGTCTTCCGCTTCCGTTTTTAAATTTTCTTCCGTTTCTTCCGCCATCCGCCATCCGCCTTCCGTCTTATTATTATACAGCCCTGCTATAAAAGAAGGTGAGACCTACTCACTCAATCTCTCTCAAGTGAGAGGGAGCCGTGTTAGAGAAATTCGATTTAACTAGAGATCGAATCAAAACACTCAAGCAATAACCACAGTTATAGAGAATCAAGAGTTCCCGTACTAACCCCCCCCCCCCAGTCCGGCCTCTAATCTTAATTTTAACTTTCTAGCGAGAAAACATTTGAAAAATTTCGTAAAGAAGGGCTTAAATTTTTCAATCAAATTTGTGAACGTAATTATATTAGCAAAGAAAAGTGTAATTCTATAGATGTAAGCAAAGTTGAAAAACCAAAAAATAATACTCAAGTTGTCAATAAATTTGCAAAATTTATTTTGAAAACTTTGGTTGCCAAAGAGATTTATTCACCTATGGGGATTTCTGATGAAACTCTGAGTTTAATTAAGGTGATTTTTTAATTTATAATTTTGGCTTTGACATTTTTTAAAATTAATGTGCGGAAAAGGCTGTCACACCTTTGTACTTTAAAAATTTTTTTTGTAATTTCCTGCTTCTGTAGAATAGCAAATAGAAACATTGGGTAATACGAACTCTATATATCTAACAGGGGTGTGCCGAAACGGATTTTAAAAAGCGAAACGCGAAATGTGAAAAGCGAAATTAAATTTAAAAAGTGAAACGCGAAAAGCGAAATGCGAAAGTCCAAAAAACGCGAAAATCCGCGAAATGCGAAACGCGAAAAGCGAAACTGGATCACCCCTGATATCTAACTGTTTGAATTTTATACGGACTAGAATTATTTGAAAATTATCATTAAGATTTTGGTTAAAGAGCTATAATCTTTGAAAATTCATTTCCTCTTAAGCTGATTTTTGTTGGATTCAGGGTGACTCATTTACCTTATTTGAGGGGATATCCACCTTTTTTGACCTTCTCGCACCCTTGTCCTTCTCCCCTTTTTCTACGTTGTCCCCTTTTGCTGATTTGGAAAGAGTCACCCTGATATGATTAGGATTGTTTCAGTAAAGGCTGTACAGTCCCGTCATATATCTCAATCGCTTTATATTTTTTAATCTGACTTGATCTTCTAATAATAATTTGAATAAAAATCAACAAACTACTTTCCAAAACATTCCAGAAATTCTAAAAAAATTTTGTTTTAGGCAATTTTAACCAAAAAAGACTTTCTTCACCCAACACTTGATGAACAAGCAATTTCGAAAGCTCGAGTTGGAATGCGAAATAAAAGAATGATTGGATTTGGCGCTATTTTAAATACTTCAATACTTGCTACTAAAATAACGGTTATCACTCTTTTAAGTGTTGGAGGTGTTCTTGGAATTATTATGATTTTGGGGGCTATTAAATTTTGTGTTCATTGAGGAATTTTGAAGAAAACTTTGAAGAAAATATTTTGTATATTTTGAAGTTATTTTTTAAATATTCTAATAGAAACCCATGTTTATTCAATGTTCACTGAATGAAACTCATTGAATGAGGGCTTCTATTAGAATATATTTATTTTGCTCATTTTTATTGAAGAAATGAGATATTTATTAAACACAATGCCCCACATTTTTCTTTTAATTATTTCAATTTTTGTAATTGTCCTGATTGTACCGGCCAGACATGCCGAAACGTTTCGTTTCGTTAACGAAACGATTTATAAAAAATTTTATTTCGTTTCGTTTCGCCTGAAAAAGATTTTGAGTTTCGTGCATGTCATACCGACAGACATACCACTCAGTCCACCTTCCCATCTTTCCAAAAAAAAACTCTCGCCTGTAATTATCCACAAGTGTACAACTAAGGTACTGCAAGCCAAAGGTACCGCAGAGATTCGTTCAAAATTGTCGAAACTGGGATGTCTTGACATGGTTCGGATTCAGGTCATCGAGGTGCATCGAGCCTACATGGCGTCTCGGATTTGACAATTCTGAACGAATTTATAGCTCTGCGGTACCTTGGGCTTCCGGTACCATAGCCTGCTTCCAAATATCCACAAGTATAACAAAGTCAATGTTTTTATTAGAACTGTCCAATACAAAAATTTTTATGAAAGAAGAAACTGAGATTAGTTCCTAGAGCCAAGAAACTTTCATGGAAAGTCTTGGACAGTTCTGAATATTATGGACATACGGGAACTGTCCTAAATCTATTGTATTTATTTTAAACATTATTTAATCAGAGTTGTATGTATTTTATTTTATTTACACCGATTTTGATAAAAAAATTTTCTGGTTATTTGTTAAAAATATTTTTCAAACTAGTGGGAATAGATACTGTCGGATAATACTAAAAGTGAGCTAATTGCTGATATAAAATTAGGTAGCCTTCTGATATTCCCTCAAATCCCTCGACATCCTCCTCGATCCTTGCAAATCATCTGCTATTTCAGATTTACCGTATAACCTGTATTAATTGCCCTCCCTCAAATAATTACCCCACTTCCATTAATTATACCATCCAGAGATGGATTGAAACAATAATTACCCTTAAACAAATGCCCTAAAACACGTTCAAATTTCAAACCTCGTATAATTACCCTCCTTCGATTAATTACTCCCTCCAACGGAAGGTCGAAACAATAATTACCCAGAGAAATTATTAAAGGCTATACGGTAATTATAATATTTAATATTAAGTATTTTGAAAACTAATACATTCTGTTCCAAAATTATAACCGCACCCCCCCCCCCCCATTTTCTCAATATTTCATGTTCCAGTCAATTTTTCTAAAGGATATTTTTAATTATCATATACGATCATGGGATGAACAATATTTAATACTGAAATGGATTTTTAAATTTACTGACGTTGAATTATTTAACTTTTTTTGAAATATAGGTGTTCCAAAATTATAACCTCACCTTTGTTTTATAGGTTTTTAATGTGGGAAAAATCCACAAAAATTTTTGTGAACATATCTATCAATATAGATAAGATATACATAAGAAATGAAGTTCTGATGTACTCCCATCATAGAGATCTTGAAACCCGAAAATCAACGGAAAACCGGGGTAGACGTCTTTAAAAAATATTTTCGACCCCTTACAGGTGGTATAAAAATTTTATTTTGGGCTTATTTGAGAGCCCTTGAAATTTGCTACAAGTTAGCATTAATTTTATTTTCCGAAAAAAATTTAACTGTAAGACCTAATGTGATAAACTTTCAGGTCATAGAAATCACTCAAACGCCCCCCAAAAGGCGATAATTTGTTAAAAATATTTTTCAAACTAGTGGGATTAGATACTGTCGGATTAGATACTAATGGTAGTACCGCTGTAATACCGAACCTAGTCAAAAGTCATGTAGTTATAAAGGACATTTGCTTTTAAATTAGTCATTTAATCAAGTAAACGGATCAAAGCTTTATTAAAGTTTAAAAAATTTTTTTCGTTTTACTTGTGTAAATAATCTATTTTTAAATTTCTTGTTGGCAAGTATCTTCTTTTTAAAAGATTTTTATTTGTTTGCTTTATGTTTATTCTTAACCCGAATGATTTTTTTATTATAATTTTGTCTCGCGGGTTGTTTAATACCTAAAAATATTTATGTAAATACAGGGTGGGGCATAAGTTCGGCGACAAATGTTTTTAATAAAATCTATTCTAAAAAAATTATTTAACATAAAAAATGATAAAATATAATCAATAGGATATAATAATCATTTTATTAAAGTAATTCCTCAAAATGACCGCCCCTGACTGAAATACACGCGTCCAACGCTTACAGTTGTGACTCACAATGGTCGGGCATTGTTCATCGGATATACCCACCCTGTACATACATATATTACCTACATAATGTATTTATGTGAGGTTTTATCTGAGAAAATGTTTAGTTAAAATACAAAAAGTTTATACATTAGTGGAAAAATTTTTTTTAGAAATATAAGTACTCTTTAAAGGTACAATTTAAAAAATTTTATTCTCGCTCAGGTCGAATTTAATGGATCTCTCAAAATTTATTTGTTGTTTAATACTAATTACAATCTTTATATTAATTTCAATTTATTTTTTAAACCAACAAAATCAATTTTATATAATTAAATCGTCTAAAGTGGTATATATTATATTAGAGTAACACCCCGAGCCTTTGGGAGCGGGATCGTCGGGGATCGGGGTTTGCCGAGGGTAGAGCCTTCGGGTCGGGGTTTTTGCCAAAAAATGTGTAGGTTTTGGAGGCCGGGTCGTGGTTTTGTGCACGGGGATAGGCGTCGGTAATCGGGGTTTATTGGGGTAAAAAACCCCTTCGGGTCGGGGGTTTCCTTCGGGTCGGGGTTTTTGCCTAGAAATTCGTCGGGGGTCGGGGTTTCGCGGGACTTGGTGCTACCCTATTTTATGCATAAACTTGTTATAATTAAAAAAAATTAAGATAAAAATTAAAAATCAGAAAATGCCCCCAATTTTGATTTGGAATAGATGTAAACATGCAAGAGGAATTGGTTACCCAGACTATCCTTTGATTGAATCCAATACTAAATGTCCCTTCGATTGCACTTTTACTTATGATAGAAAATTGTAAGATTTTAATTGTAATTCAGAATCTGATTGCTTATTTTTCCATTAGTGAGGACGGGAAGGTGGGCAAGGCCAAAATAGAGTATTGAGGTAGTGTGCCGTATTTTCATTAGTAATAGGAAAGTGGCTAGGAAAATAGGACTAACCCACCCGAGTAACTAACCCATAGCTCGGGGTTACCAATACCCGCATTTGGATAAGGGTTCTGGATCACCCTGCCCAAAACTGGCTGTTGATTAACCCCTACCTCGATCTTAAAATATCGCTCTTGATTGACATTAGTAGTCTAATTTTTATACTTTTAGCGAGGCAAACGCATCGACAACACTTTTTTTCCTCCATTTATTTTGTAATGAGACTGATTGGCCAAAAAATCGTAGAGAAGATCAGAATTATATGATGTATACAGTTGAATCCCCTATACAAACCATTTTTAAATTTTATGACAGAAAATTATTGACAGACAAATTTTTTAATAGTTCAGCAACTTATCGTTTAGATAGTTCTGTTTTTATGCCCTATGACGCTTTAACGAGAATTACTCCATATACTCCAAAAGAATATATTTGGGATCAGAAAGAGGTCAATTTATAATACATATAGTGCAGGCTGACCTCACTATGAATTGAAAATTTTGAACTGAAAAATCGTATCCCTTAATGAGGGTTAGGGTTGCTGCGTTCGAGCCGAGCCGAATGTCGAGGCAGTTTTCCGGGCTTGTTTCTATAGAATCGGGCCGTATGAGTCTTTTTTGGGCCAAATATCTGAGGTCCAACTGGATCTTTCAGTCCGAGTGGGCCCACACTGGCACCCCTAATGAGGAGATTCGAGAGTGGTTATATATCTAACTCTACTTAATGGAACTTTCAGAGCTTGAATGAATAAATTATAAAAAGTTAATCTATAGAGCAGGGGTGGACGCAATTGCGGACTGCGGATTGGGCTGCGGATTTTAAAATAAAATTGCGGCTGCGTAAAATTTATTTCAATTACATCCACCCCTTGCTTTAGAGGCTTAAAATTTAAGGTAATGGAAAGAGTTAAAAAGAAAACAAAATTTGTATTCCAAGCGGTATCTCATTGCAATAGCGAATCTGGACGAGATCCTATTTCAAAAAGACTAAAAAACATAACAGGATTTGATATTGTTGGTGGCTGTTTTGGTGGATGGTGTAGTTATGACTGTTATGACCGCAATATGGGTGAATATAACATTAGAGTTAGACATTTTCAATTTGCCGGGCCCGGTATCCGGGTTTTTCTCTTTCAACCAGACCCGGGCCGGGTTTTCCGGACTAAACCCCCGAAAACCCGGAAACCCTGAAAACCCGGATTTTATCAAAATACCCGGTTTCCGGGCATCCCCCCGATCCAGGACCCGGTCCGGTGTCGAACTCTATATAAAATTTACTTAAATTCAGAATAAATTTTTAGAAGACCACAAATTTTATTTGGCATTTGAGAGTAATATTTGCCTCAATTATGTTACAGAAAAATTTTGGAGAGCGTTGAGATCACTTACCATACCTGTAGTTTTTACTAGATCTGTTTTTAAAGGAATGGATGTTCCTTCTAGTGCATTTATTGCTTTGGAAGATTTTAAATCTGTAAATGAATTCGTTGCACATTTACAGGCTTTGCAAAATGATACGGAAAGATATATGAAGTAAATTTTAAAAAAATTAAGTTTGAATTGGTATGATTAGAGTGACTAGAGTTATGCATTCAGACCAGGGATGGCCGAAATAAAAATTTTATTTCGTTCCGAAGCAAAACAAAAGAGAAAAAAGGGCACGAAAGGCGAAACGAAATGAAACGAAATTTCGGCCATCCCCGGTTCAAAGCTTCCCTGTCTAGTCTCATTCGGAGGGCCGATTAATAAGAGGTTTGGTGATTGAGTGTAAAAGTTCTGGTACTTATTTCCTCCCACCCCCCCCCAGTCCATGATTCTCTGATACCTTCCTTAATCATATAAATCCACTTATATCCCCCATTTAATAATTAAGAAGTCTATCTAAACTTTGAAATTATTTGACAAAAGTATCTCTGGAGATTTTTCTTCATAGCGGGGCTAAAAAATTGCGCGTTTCGCCTTTCACGGATTTTCGTACTATTTGGACTTTAGCGTTTTTCGTTTCGCATTTCGCTTTTTAAAATCTGTTTCGGCATACCCCTCGTACAGTAATAACAATGGGACAGTGACTGGAAGAACACATCTGATTTATATTATCCTTTATAGTTCATCTTTGGGTAAATAGTTAAATTACAAAGAGTAATTGTACTGGAGGGAGACTTATTGGAGAGAGTAACTAATACATATGTTTGCCATTTTAAGAGTGCCATTTTAAGAGATTTTTAAAAAATTTTCGATATATTTTAGACACTTTGAATGGACAAAGACATATACAAATAGGAAATTTGGTTATGATTATTCACCAATATGTCAAATATGTGAATTTGCCACAAGACATTTTGAACAAGATACGAAAAATATACTCGATTTGGATAAGTTTTGGAACGTAAAGGATTGTAATTATTTTGATGTTGAGAAATTTTTGAAGGATTAATTTTAAAAAATAACTTGTGTTTCACCGGAACCGAAATTTTGCCCGGAACCGGAACTTCCGGTGAAGGTCTAATAAAGCGCTATTCTGGATTTCCCCAAATAATTTATAAGAATTTATTAAATTATAAATTTGTTTTTTCCTATTTATTTTGAATAAAATAATTTTGATTACGGTTTGAGGCGTTGGACTTGTGAGTGTTGTAGAGACATGTGAGACATTTGGTTTTGAAACCAGACCTTTTTTGGGGTTTCTTCTGTCTTGGAGTCGTCAGAGTCTCAAGTTTTGAGGGGGGATCCCAAATTGTCCATGCCCCAATGCCCATATTTATATTGATCAAAATGTTGCTTTATTTTCAGTAATATTGGAAAATCTGATTTGAATATGACACAGGGAAATAGAGAATAAATTTAGGAAGGAATTCTGACCATTGTATACATCTATGGAAAACTTTGAGACTAAAACTAGGGGGCGGCATATCCCTAAAATACCTCTTGTTTCAATTAAGGGTGGCGGATCCGGATCCGAAAGAAAGGCCGGATATCCGGGAATTTTTGGTTTGGATATCGGATCCGAATATCCAAGGATTTCCAATTATCATCCAACCCTAGTCCCAGTTACAAAAAAATTTTTCAACAAAATTAAATATTTATTACAGCTAATAAAATATTATTTAAATAAATTGATCATTAAAAAAATTTAAAAAAACTAAAAAACAATTTTTCTTTTAATTTTTTTTCCAATTTTTATTTTGTCTGTTCCTCTCTTAAAAAGATGATGATTATTGTCTTTTAAAAAAAGCCTTCTTCTTTCTTCTTTTGTCCAACAAACAAGAAAATCTCTCCTTTTATTATTTACGCCTATTAAGTTTAAAAGCTTTTCGTCCCACTTATTTTTACTATTTATGGGACATCAATTGCTTTGCTTAAATTATATTTAGACAAGGATATAAACAAAAAATATAAAATTATTTTTAATAGAGTGACCATAATTTAAAGGATTATGTATATTAGACCCTCACAATGCGCTATTCTCACCAGGCTTAGTAATGGATAAGGATACAAGTTTAAAATTCCCGCGGATATCTGTCTGTATCCGACGTAGATATCCGGATACGGATACCAAAATCCATGTTCATTACCAAGTCTGATTCTCACTATCCTCACTCTATAAATTTTAACTAAATCCCACTGTAAGATGAAACTTCTTTATAAATTGTATCCTTATTGTTTCGACAGCGTAATTGTAAACAAAGGTATTGCCTAGATGGCTTCCTCCACATCAGAGGTGGGTCGGAATTCCTATTTCCGACGTTTTTTTCTTCCGATTTCCGAAAAAATTTTGATTTCCGATTCCGACTTTTGATCCACTTCCGATTTCCGAAAAAATTTTGATTTCCGATTCCGACTTTTGATCCACTTCCGATTTCCTCCTCTTCCGATTTCCGACACCTCTGACTGTTCCGACCTACCTCTGCTTCACTTAATGGCCAACCAACCTTTTAAGAACGTACTTTAACAAGTTTAATCCAATTTTGGGGGTATCTTATAGTAGAGTTCAACACAGTATAAGAATAATTTCCTGTTAATACTTATTAATAGGACATTATTTTTCCTAATAATTTCCAATTTTTTTGCAAAAATACATTGGTTCCTCTTCCAATTCCTTTTAAAAAATATTATTTATTTAAGTACACACTTTACTCATTTAATATTTTTATTTCTTTTCTCATCACTTCACCCTCCCTATCGCGCCTTTCCCTTTTTTCTTTTTGGAAATTAGAAAATGAAAAAAAAATTTTTTTGTTGCATGTACATAAGATAAAGAGATTTATTTTAATCGGAATTATTAATTACTTATTAAAATCATCGCCACTGGCAAGGTCTTAGCGGAAATAAAAATATAATTTTAAAGAAATTTTTTTTCATTTTAAAAATAATTTTTTTAATTTTCTTTGTTTTTTTTTGTCATTTATAATAAAAAAAAATATTCAAAAAAATCTAATTTTTTTCTAAAAACCCTCTATTTAACGTACGCCCATTTTTATTGACTCGTTCAAATTAAATGGAGGACTACACAATCGAAGACTGATTTAACGCATCTTTCAAAATAACTAACCTTCTCTAAGAGCTCTCTTTTAAAACCCTCTATTTAACGTACGCCCTCGGTCCTTCGAGTCGCTTATAACGAGAGTCGATTGTATTTAATAATTTTTTTAATATCTAAACTCTCTTTACATTCGTCAGATAGAGTATTCCTTAAATTAAATATTTTTTTAAAAATTTGTACGTTAAATAGAGGTTTTTAAATTTTCTAAAAAAAATATTTTTTAATTGAAAAGCTCAAAATTAAATTTAAAAATGTCCTTAATCCTCCAAAAATATATTCTTTCAATTTCTATTATTTTATTCCAACAATTCAATAAAATCTGTTTAAAAGGAATAGTAGAAACTTTGTCTACAACAAATCCTTTAATAGATAAACGTCCTCCAAATTTGTATAAATGGATTGAAGAAAATGCTCATATTTGTTTGTTTCTATTGAAAAATTTGGGGGATTTTAGTATAGGGGGAATTGGGAATTTTGGAAGATTTTTAGTCAATCTTAGGGTTGTTAGGTTCGGAACAGAGACCCATCCGAACAGAGGAATTGATTTTGGTTCAGAATAGCTTGAATTATTTGTGAGATGCATTTTATCCTTGAATTATTCCGGATTACATTGCCAAGCTCTTTCCAAGTCAGCAATCCTGTTGTATTTCCTAGAATTTAGAATATTGTTTGGAACTTCAAAAATTAATTTATCTCTAATAAGATTTTTGAAAAGCAGAAAAACCCGGAAGGACGAAATTATGGACCGAAACAACAGAATTAGGTGAAATTAGGACTCTTAATCTCTCTCAACTCTGAACGGCGCCATTTAATTTGGGTTGTCTATTCTTAGAAAATTTTAGGAAATCCGGAACAGAACCGAGAGATCTTCCGTTCTTAAGATAAAGCTGTAGCCGCCAACCCTTAAAAAATTCGGAATTTTTACCTTAACACTTAGTCAATATCTTGAAAAAGAAAGTCTAAAATAATTTTAAAGGCACAATAGTCCCAGTTAATGGAGAAAGCCTTGTCAGTTTTTTATCGGAAGAGGAAGGGAAAAAGTGTTCCATTTGTCCAGATTTGGGTATTAATGAAGTTCCTACAATGGCCTGTGCTGTTGAAGTTACTCCAAATGATATTGAAAATTTGGATATTGGATGTCATAAATGTTTGTTTAATTTGTTGAAAATTCAAAAATAATATTCGGCCCTCACTATAAGAACAGAAGTTCAGACCTGTATTTTACACAAAACCTGACCCTGGAATTTTCGAAAACCCGATCCGACTTTTCTCATTCTGACCCATTCATGATATTCATGATACACACCCTTTGGGTCGAAAATAATCATATCTTATGATGGGATGTATTTTAAATAGAGGGTGTATTTAAATAGAGGATAACTCTTGGGCAATTTCTTCCACTTAGTGTTCGACTAAAAATTTGGAAAACTTTTGTTAAATAGAGGTGTAGCTAGTATTGGAGGGTTCGTATCTTATAGTGAGGGTCAAATTTTTTCCACAAAAAATTTCAAAAAATTTTTTTAAGTGCCAGACCTTTGCGTTATTGAATTAAAAAATCGTTACGCGGAGTTTTACATGAACATATCCCTCGATAAAGAAGGGACTCTTTTTTCTAAACCTCCAAAACCTTTTGGAGACAAATCAACTTCTTCGGATTTTAAACGCTCAGAAGAAGAAAAAATTTTCCAGGCAACAGATTCCCTATTTTCTACAAAATCTTTAAATTTATTTTCTTCAAAAGAAAAAAATGAACTTGAAAAGGATGAGGAAGAGGAACAAAAAGTGGAATTTGATGGGACTCATGAAGAAGAAATTGGAAAGGTTTTTGAAGGATTGAAGGGTGAAGGATTACAAGCTGTTACTACAAGTATTAGACCTACAACAATAAAAACAGCAAGTTCAAATTTTAAGGTAAAAATGTTTAACAGCTAAACACACCCCCCCCCCATGACTAACCAAAATCTAAAAATGTATGGTCCAGGAAGAGGAACAGCAGATATGAGGAATCTTCTGAAAGAAGCTTCATATTTCTCGTCTTAATTAGACGGGGTAACCCCCACCCCCCCCCCCCTTAATATTCACCAAAAACTTCTGGTTCAGCAAGAATAATAGGGGTACAACAGACTCATATCTGAACATTAACCTTTTTCACATCCCTAGATCTCCGTGTATTAAAGAGGGATTAAAAGGAATAGCTGGAAAAAAATCGTTTAATGCTGGGTATATTCCCGTTTAATGCTATGATTTTGAAATGTACGGAGCCGGAGCCACAAAACGGCCAATACCCAGCACTGCTTCATGTTAATTAATCAAAGGAATTTTAATTTTTTCAGTTAGGCCAATCAACTACTATAAGGGCAAATATTTTTGCACAAATGGATGGACAGGAAGGCAAATAAAAAATTTTTAAAATTAAAAATCCTCTTTTTTAAGGCATTCCTTTAAATATAAAAATTACTCCAATGTCAACAGGTCGCCGTATCCTTTCGGAAGGCGAAAAAGAACAAATAATATTTCCTCCTTCCCAAAACAATGAAAATGAAATTATTGAAAAAATACAAAAAAGGGTTAAAAATAAAGAAAATTTAATAGTCGAGGAAGAGATTGAGGAAGAAAAAGATGAAAAATCTTTTTGTAAGGATACCCACGAACTTTGTTGTTTTTGGGCGGTAGCTGGTGAATGTAATAATAATCCCTTTTGGATGAGGGTAAAATGCCCTATGACATGTGGAACGTGTGGGTGTAAAGGTAGAGAGGGGAAAATTTTCTTTGATTTTTTTGAAAGAGAGGAAAGAATTCTGGATACTTGTAGAAACATCTCATTAATATATCCACCCCTGGAACCAAGAAACTCTACCTTATAATGAAGTGTACCTAACATAGAGGGTATCGCTTAGACATCTCAGCCATCCAGTATCTAGCCTAGATTTAAAAGGATATACCGTGTAAGGCCCTACTCTCAATTAGAGCCCCACTCCCTAATACAGCCCCAATTTTGAGGGTAGTTGAAAGATAGAGCCACATTCTCAATTAGAGTCCCATTCTCTAATACAGTCCCAGTCTGAAGGATAGTTTAAAAAAATTCAGCCCCATGGGGCTGTATTTGGAAAAATACGGTATATTAAGTAGAGGTGTACCTAATATTTGAGTGTCCTTAGTATTAGGGGTGTCTTATGATGAGGTTAGACCATAAGTAAATTATCAGGCACATTTTACATACTTCTCTTAAAAACTTTTCAGTCAAAAATGCCAATAGATGTAAATCAACTGGTGTCAAATGTATTTTGCCTACCACAACAACTACCACAACAGAAGCAACCACTTCCACAACTTCAACAAGTACATCAAGAAGTACACCAACTTCAATAAGTACACCTACTCCCCCTCCCTCGACTTCAACCACACCTTCGAATAGAAGAAGACCCCGTCCAACAGCTCCCCCAAAAATGCCTGGGCATCGTCCACAAAGGCCGAAGCAACCCAAATCTACAAGTACAACCACAAAACGCCCAAAAATTGTTAGTCAAGAGAAAGAATATCCACCCCTTATAGCCCCCTTTATTTCTTCGTTTGGTGATGGTGGTGGTGGTGGTGGTGGTGATAGTAATAAAATTGATAATTTTGATAATTTATTTAATCGTGATTATTCCGAGGAAGTAGAAGAACCCCGAATCGAAACAACTCTAATCCCCTTTAAAAAACATTCAATTACTTTTACTCGCTCAACTCAGATTTATGAGGAAGAGGATTTTAATAGAAATGAAAAGAAGCTTAAAGAGGGCGAAAAGAAGAAGAAAATTAATTTGAAGGATAAGGTTTTTAAAAAATTTAATTTTTCGTTTTTTTTTGTTTCTTGGCGTTTTGTTTTTTTGGTGTTTTTTTGGTTTTTTGAATTTTTTAGTTTTTCCTATTTTTCTGATTTTCTTTTCTGAATTTTAAATTTTTAAATAAGCACATTTGAGGTGGGAAACGTTTGTGTTTTTTAATTTTGTATATTAGTCTAATGAGCACCTAAAATTCTGAAATTTTGTACGGACATCATGAACATCCCTAACTACAAATATTCAAAATTTCAGAATTTTTGGACCATTATTTGTAAAGTTGTGGACAAAAAGGCGACCATATATGTATTAGTAAAAAATGCGATTTTTTGAATATTTTTGGCCATAACTTTTGAAATACTCAATTAAAAATTCTGAAATTTTCAGAATTGTTTAGTAACATTTATAAGAATGTCTGGGCAAAATTTCACTATTTTAGGTGCTTGCTTAATTATTTTATTAATATATTTCATGATAATGACCTCTCCAGGCCCTTAAGCTAATAATTTAATTTTTTTAAATTTTTGTTTTGAAGAATTTTTGGATTAATTAGAGGGAAAGGATTTATTTTCATAAATAAACGAAAAAAAAAAATTTTAAAAATTTTCAAAAAAAATTTTTTAAACAATAAAATACAGACAACTCCTCTCGTTCCCATAACATCACCAACAGAAACATCAAAAACATTGACAACCATAAAAACATCAATAAACACAACAATAATAACAACAACCAAACAAACATGTTTTAATTACCACAAATTGTGTGAATTTTGGGCAGAGATGGGAGAATGTTTGGCAAGTGTTTTTAAATGTTTTTTGCTACCAAAACATTTCCCAAACAAAACATTTGTTTTTCAAACAAAACATTTTTAGAGCAATCCCTTTTGGATGCGTCCACATTGCCAGAAATCGTGTTCGTCGTGTGGGGAAACATTGGGTGATATTTCTACTCCAACACCTAGAAGAGGTTAGAGAAAGGAGAAAAACAATGTTTTTCTTGTCTAGCAAAACTTCAAATAAAAATTCCCTAAATCTCTCGTTATCTCTGTTAATCCCTCAAATCCGCTTATAGCCCCTTTAATCCATTGATTTTCCTTTTAATCCCTCCAAATCCCACCATATCTCAACTTAAGGCAAGTTGTATTTTTGGGGCAAATTAACTTCAAAATTAATTCTAAACTTTATTCAGGCTGTACCAATGTACACATTCTTTGCCCATTTTGGGGATTTATTGGAGAATGTGAAAGAAATCCGAGATGGATGGGAATGCATTGTAGAGCTAGTTGCCAACTTTGTTAAATGGTTATGATATAAATTTATGTAATAGAATATATCTTAGAAATATATCAAATATCCTTGCCACTTATTTTTAAAATTTATTTTGTATTTTTAGTGAATTTTTTGATTAAATTTAGAAAAATTTTGAGTATAGGTAAAGGGTGTCTTTCGGACTAAGGTTGCCTATCTGAGCCAAAATTTTTTTGAATATCAGGACCAGGGTGGCCTTTTTGCCTCATTTGGGAGGCATTTGCCTACTTTTTGAGAGCCATGCTTCTTTTTGGTGATTTGGAAAGGGCCACCCTGATCAGGACATTTGTCCGATATTTCGAATCCAGATCCGTTAACCCTTGTTTTGACCCAGGCGTTCCATTTAAGCAAGGGCTGAACTTGGAGGGAGAACCTCCCTCAATTTTTTAATAGAACCTCCTCATTCTCTTGAAGGAGGATTTAGACTATAATTTTGATTTTTTAAAAACAATTCTATATCTAGAAAATATTTTTATTGTTAAAAATGTGAACGAAAAACGAGGTACACCTTTTTTGCCTTTTTTGGACAGAAAACGGATTGAACGACTAATCCTTCAACTCATGGCCTATTAAATACTTTTGAATATTCTAATTTCTTGTCACAACGGAGATGACATATAAATTTAAAAATCAGTCCTTATTTACTCGAATTTATTTGAAAATTAATAATAATCCCTTTAATAATTCTCTTTTCGTTCCCGCGCATCTTCTTTCCCGCTACCTCATCTTTGTCTTTCTTCAAAAAAAAATTTTTTCTGTTTGTTTTAAGTCGGCTTCTTCTCTTTTTTTTACAAAACATACACTTACATTTATCTATATTAATTTTTAAAATAACTCTAAAAACATTTTTTCTGTATCGGCCTAGCCTTTGTTTGTATCCCCCTCAAATATTGCTTGTACAATTCCCCTCCCCTCCCCTCCCCTCATTCCCTCAATTCCCCCCTCCCCCCTCCACTCACCGCAAACTTTTCCCTCTTTTTTCTTAAAAAATTTTTTTCACTCGAGAACATCGAATAGTTACAGTAATTTAATATTTGCCAGAAATGAGGCAATTCTTGGGGGAATGGAAAGTAAAAAGAAGGGGAAGGAGGACAATTCGCGCATCTCTAAAATAACTTGAACTAATACATATTTGTTTTATTAGCAATTTGATCATTTTGGAAACTTTTAAAAATATTTTTTATTAGAAAAAATTGAAGAATTTTAGTTAAATTTTTGGTATTTTAATAAAATTTTAAAAAAAATTTCAGAAAATTTTTGAAAAATTTTTTGAAATTTTCAAAAAAATTTTCGGAAAATTTTTGGAAAATTTTCATTGAGAAAAATTTTTTTTGATTTTTTATAGGCCTATTTTCATACATATTTAATAAATATGAAAAAGCTTCTTCAAAAAAACCTTTATAACTAACTCTCTCCACTCCCCTTTTTTGACCATCTTTAAGGGAGCCCCTCAACTCTTGACCCTTCCCTATTGACTTCTCTAGGTCCTCTCAATTGCCTTTCTAACTAATAATGAAAAAATAATTTTTCCTTCTCAAGACTACTTAAAAATAAATTTATTTTTTAAAAATCTTCTTCAAAAAAAATTATTTTTTTTCAAGAATTTTAGTAAAATTTCCCTTCCAAAAACACTCAAAAACTCTCTCAAGTGACGTTGAAAAAAATTATTTTCCCCTAACAAAAACAATAATAATACTCACTTAAAAACCCTTTGGCCTTCTTTAAGAAGGAAAAATGTTCAACAACAACAACAATCATATATTCAATACAGACCTCCCTCCCTCTTCAACTTTTTTCAATTCTTGTGGCACATCCACTAAAGGAGGAAATATTCTTTTGAGTGGAATTACAAGTACTTCTACTTCTAATAGTTGTTGTAATTCTTCTTCTTCGTCTTATTTCCCTTCTTCTTCATTTCCTTCTTCATTTACTAATTTAAAGACCCAAAATAAACGTCAAAATTTGTTAAATGATGAAAGCGAGATTGAAAGGTGAATGATATATAAAAATGCCTATCTTTCTGGCCAGTGCTTGGAAAGTTCGGTGGCTTGATACCTCGTTCCTCGTACCTCATTCCATTACCTCCATACTTCGTTCCTAATCCTCATTCCTACGATTAATAATTTTAAAAATTTTAATGCGCGCGTTCATGGTCCATGTTATTTCCTTAGATCGTGGGCCATGAACCATAAGACCATGGGCATTTCTTTTCAATAATGCTAACTCTTACAGCAATCAGAGTTTATCAAGAATTCCTGATCAAAATTATGCCTATTTTTCCTTCTACAAGAAGCCAATGTTTAAAGCGTATCAAGTAAAGTACATTTGTAGTCTACTGAAGACTGGGCATCTGAAGCATTATTTTTCATTAAATAGATTTTTTTGTTTGTTAAGTCTAACATAACTTTTTAAATTTTTAGAAAGCCTACTATTAACAATGCAGAAGCATCAACAATTAAATTGGAATCAACATCAACCCCTTTACCTATCAACAATTCTTATAACACTTCAGTTGCTTCTTTTGCTGCTGCGGCATCTTCTCTTTACCAACAACAACAAACAATTGCTGCATATCAACAACAACCTTATTTATTGGCAAATAATTTTATGTTGCCAAATTCTTCCAATTGGTGTTCATCTATTGTTGAACAACAACAAATGGCTAATTTTGGTGATTAAAAAAATTTTTTTTGAAAACGATTTTAGAGTTAGGGGTGATAATGGGGGAAAACCATCACCAAAAGACGGGACAGATTGATAACAAGATTTCTAATATATAAACTTTGGTTAGCCACAAGGTAGAGGAGGTGCCTAAGCGATACTCTCTGTTAAGCCTCTCTAATAAAAAGGCAAGAGGCGAAATTCAAGTCATGACACCCTTTAATTTCATTATATGATACAGTTTTTTGAATCCCGAGTGGGTATTTTGCAGTAACATCTGATTAAATAAGGGCAATCACAAAAAAACTATGTAGGACCCCTCTCTAAATACCCCTCTCTAATAAAAAGGCGAGAGGCGCTCTTCAAGTCATGACACCCTTTAAGTTCAAGATATTACAGTATTGACTTAAGGATTAACTCTCAGTAATCGGTAATTAATTTGTTTATTCCAGGTACTTCCCCAACACAACTTCCACCACATGATCCAAATATTCTAAATAATAATTATAATTCTACAAGTTTAATGAATGTAAATAATACATATTGTTCCCCAAATAATTATTTTTATCAACCAACATTTCCACAGCTTTATTCAGCTTCAATGATGCCTCGATACGGATTTTTTCCTTCCTTAAATGGAGGATTTTCTGGTAGGATAAAGAAAACTTATTTTCAGAATAATCAAATAATTTATTTAAAAAAAGAATCGAATAACTGAAGGTAGGCTGTGTGTTGAGTAAAGAGTCAAAAATTAACAGGATGATTTTCGACTCTAAGAAATCCAAGCTTCCTTAGCTGTTGTGTATATCCGCTGAGACAAGCCTTAAAAATCGATAGAGACTCAAGATACCTATCTCGATAAATCATAATCTCTGTAACCAAGAGTTTAGAAAAACAAGTCTTAGTTCGATCTCGTTACTCACATGCCTTAATTTAATCATGCTCAAATGCTTTAATTTAAATAAGGGGGCAGGAACTGAAGGTCTTAAGGCAAGGTCTCACCCCTTATGGCTTTTATCAACTTTTAATATCAAAATTTAAGAAGTAGAACAACAACAACCCTTCACTTCCCCTCAATTTTTAAATTCTATTAAAAAAGAAAAGGAACAACCAGAAAAGCAAAAAAATAAGGTAGAACAACCAGTCTTTAAAATTATCCTTAAAAAATTTTTCTTTCATTTAAAGACAAAATTAGGAAAGAAAAGCCGTTTAAATAATCAAGCAACAACTTCAAACATTAAAAATAATTTTGCTTCAGAAAAAGTCGGGGAGGAACGAGTAGTGGGACAAAATGTGATCCTACCCGAGGGGGTAGAAAAAAAGAAGAAACGAAAGAGGAGAGTGCTGTTGTGAGTTTTTTTGTTCGAAAACTTTGAAAAATTCTCTTCAGTTCAAAAGCCCAAACTTTAATTTTGGAATCTCGCTTTGCTATAAAAAAATACTTGACAGCCCAAGAACGAGAACAACTTGCTAGAGAAATACAGCTACAACCTACGCAAGTTAAAATATGGTAAGTTTTTTGGAGAAGGGAAGGTTCTGATTGAAAAGATCGTTCCGTTTTTTAAGAACCCCTAGGACTGACGAGAGTTTTTTGGGACCAGTAAATCTGCCAATGGGCGCAAAATAATTATATCTCCATTGGAGAGGAGTTGGCTAACGAAGGAGAGGCTGTGGGATTTCCGTGGGACTTCGGGATGAGATTTGGTAGATCATCTGTCTACCTACCTGTCTACCAAATTCCATCCCGAAGTCCCACGGACGCCCAAAAGCCACTCTTTTGTGAGTGAAATCTCAACCGAAAAGAAGCTCCATTTTGACCCTTCCCCTACACCGGTAACTAGAGAATTTCTATTTTCAATATCGAGATGGACTTCTCTGTTAATAAAAGATCCATCTATGGGTTGATCTCATATATCTCCCTTAAATCTCCGCTTATACGAGAGAGTTGAAGGTCTTCCATGTGGCCGCTCTCTCTTTTTTTCAGTATCACCTTCCCTCTAAATTTTCCGTTTTTCGCCAAGCTTCTAACTCTAATTAAAAAAAATTTTTTCAAGGTTTCAAAATCATCGTTACAAAACCAAA